GTCATCTGTGTAGTTTGAACTGCCATTGTCATTTCTGCATTCTCTCTCACTATTGCTCTCATTAGTCATGTAACTGGTCTCTAAGCTCACTAGGCTCTTAACCTTCAACAGTCTCATGCTGGAATTGCCTTTCTGAAGAACATCATTTCATCAGCGATCATTCATTCCTAGGTTGACTCGCACCTGGAACTAATTCACTCAACAGGTTGATACCTGGGAGATCAGGTCAACTGATCACATGAAGGCTCTGGCACACAGTTGGCTATGGGCTCATCCTGTTCCTTGTATGATTGTTGCCTAAAGTTGTTAATGAATAAAGTTTATTCCTATTGATGCATATTATGGTCTCATGAAGTAGGAGGGGTCTCCAGGAGTAGGTTTCAACTGAGCTGAGATAGGATTGCATCTCTTGCTTGCAGTTTCACTAGGTTCCTCACATGATAATTCCTTATATGAATATAGTTCCTTATATGAAAGATATGTAATCTATAGTCTTATTCCCCACGAGCTTTTTCCTGCTTGGCTGCATTCTGACTACCTCGTTGGAGACGCATCCTGGGACAACTTTATCATCAGTTGAGACTGCCTAAATTATACTTGGGAGTCACTTGAAAACCTGCATGCCTTTTAGAGAGTTTAGACCAGAGAAGCATGGGCTTATGTGGTTTCTTAATATTTTTTTTTATAAACTTTCTTAAAGTTTTTAGCAATTGGGAGAAAGATGAATGCTGCCTTTATAGATTTAGATAAAGCTTAAGACTGGATTGATTATTAAGCATCCTGGGATATTTAAAAGATAAATAGAGTGGGAGGACTGCGGCGGCCGAGAAAACTCAGTCGGTGGGAAACTGTGAGAGTCGAGAAAACACCTTTTTAAAATTTCGTACCCATCCAAAACGCACGTGGTAGGTTGTGTACAAAATGGACTTTTAGCGAGTCCAAATGGACTTCCAGTGAGAGGCAGCCATCTTGGAAACAATTAACAGAATGTCCTAGGGCTGCTGGCTGGCTCAGTTCCGAGAGAGCAACCATGGGTGGCGCATGCGCCTATGCCTCCTAAACACCTGTCCAATGCGGTGTTGAAAGATTGCTCTTTCAGTGAAATTCAGACTTTATTGTTTGAAGAACATAAGGGTCGTGATATTGATGAAGCTAGGCACAATATGGACCTAATGCAAGGGTCAAATGCAAATGATACAACACTGATGAGGACAATACAGCGAGCATACACAGTTGTAGCTGAGCGCCACCTATGTTAACTTGTGTTATCTCCAATTTTTATAGATGATACATCGATGAATCTTTTTCTGGATTCAGTGATGAATCCAGAAAATATGAGCTTCTGATACAAGTAGCATAGATGAACAGTGTAGGGGGGTAGAAACAGCCTAAGCTACTCTATCCCTTTGAGATGTATTTCTTGCTAATCTCAATAAACATACTTGAACTTGAACTTGAATGAACAGTGTTAGCGGCTTCCATGGTGGTGTTTTCCATAGATATTTTCAAGAATAGCTGAATCTCCTCCAGAATGGCTGAATCTCTTCCAGAATACTTTACAAAGCAATCTTTTCCTATACTTTTTCCAAGACTACTTTACACTTCACAAGCTTGGCTACATACCACCTACAGGTACTAAAGCCAAGGGTGTACATGAGTGCATTATTTGCAAGCACACAGAACGAAGAAACAAGAAGTGAAAATCTGTTTGTACCTGGTGCATCGAGAGCAAAGTCACACAGTGTACCATGGAATGCTTCGTTGACTGTCACTCATTTCCGAAGTATTGAGTGTGTTACAGTATGTCACACACAGCATGTTCCTGTATAGTGTGAGACTGTACATACAGTATTATAATTTTAGTGAATTTTGAACAAATAATATTGCAACAATAAACATTTATGACACATTACTGACACATGTATCAGAGTTTCATGGAACATTATGAACGTTCTACTGTATAAATATTGTAAAGGACATATATATATGTATCAGATACTTTACACAAAAAAATCATTATAAAGCATTAAAAATACATAGAAATATTATTTGTAAATATATTTGTGGCAACTCGCAGGGCTTGAATGGCCCACGCGAGCGCATCTGGGAGCTTCGTGCACGGGCAACCAGCCCATGATGACGTCACATACAACTTTGTCCACAACCCCACAGCCAAAGTAAGTGGAAATTTATATTTTTTTACATGTATATGTTCAGGAAAGGGAATGTATAATTTTACAAAGATTTTTTTTTTTTTTTTTTTTTTTGCGAATACCAGTACTTGATTTTCCCCACATGGGAAATTTCCCAATAAACATGGCGCATCACAGAGGTTAAGAGCAGTAAAACCCTTTTATGCAAATAGCAGACCAATGAAAATAAATGGATACAAATAGGAGAGGATTTTAATGCTAGGGTGATCAAAACACAGGTTTGTGTAATGTCTCCTAGGTCTTTCAATATACATATGTATAGTTCATTTAAAGGTGTCAAGACAAGAACATCTAGAGTGGGAATAGAAGAGAATTGCAATGGGAATAATGGTCGTATGCAGATGATGAATTATTTGCAGGGAGTGAAAAGGAATTGCAAATGAGTATGAAATGAGTTTGACAAGAGTGCAGTATGCAAGAAAGTCGAGAATCAATACATGAAAAAACCAGCGTTGAATGTAATGAAACGCCAGTTTCTGGGTGAGACCCAGAGGCTCCCAGGAGCTAACCGTGCTGATATGAATGTATTAGATCCTAGCATCAGTCAATGTGCATGGAGTTCTAGGCCTACTAGGGACCACGAGTGAGAACCTGGCCCCCTCAGAGAGGCACGAGGAGCAATGGTTTATATAAACCCCCATGTGGTTGGAAGCATTCTATGTCTGCCATCGACCAGGTCAGACGCCCAGAAAGGTAATCGCCCCAAAACAAACCCTATTCTGGTAAAAATATTGCTACCGAAAGCCGAACTAGTGAACAGGACTCCCCAAATGAAAATGCGCAAAAGAGCACGATGTCACCGTGCCATTATCTGCAGAACCCCCCCCCTACCCCTCCTCAGGAGAGGGAAGGTGGAGCCCCAGACACCTGTGACAGCTATCTACCCAGCAGTTCCGATGATGGATGTCAAAAGCTGTAAAAAAAAAATGCTGACCGGGAGGGAGGGATGGATTCTGGGGAGCCTCCGGATCTTACCAAGAAACTGGCATTTCATTACATTCAACGCTGGTTTTCTGGAGGGAGCCCCTTTGGCTCCCCGGAGCTACTTACCCAAAGACAAAACAAGAGGGACTTACCCTGGGAGGCGGTCGGCTTTCACTCCTCAACGCAGAGTGATAACTGAAGTGTCGGACTTGTCGCTCCGTTACTTCACAAGTAACGGAGTGACAAGTCGAGAGAACTGGCTGCAACCTCCAACCCAATGCAACACAGGCCTGACTAGGCCCAGGAACATTGACAAGGTAGTGAGCAGCCAGATCCCTGTTCGACCTCCAAAAACCCTGTGCCCAAATAACAGCACATATCAGTTCAGATAGCTTCAGGGAGCCGACGGGGCTCCACACAGAAATCCAAAAGGAAGGCTGCCCTCTTAGGCCTATCATTTCTAGCTTAAAAGCCCCTCAAAAATAACTAGGCTATTTGGCTAGCGAATATTTTAGGTAAATTCCCAGTAACATATATTATTTATTCTCTGGGTTTTATTGAGAAAGTTAGGAACAAAGGACCCCACAGAAAAAAATAAAAATAGATAGTTTTGATGTTGCCGTACTTTTTACCAATGTGCCTTTACTTAAAATATTAGATTTTCTTAAGAGCACAAGAGGTAGTAGGTAATTTTGCTACGCCAATCCCTAATGGTTTATTCTGTTTCATTCTTTGAGTTGATTAATACTGAAGACACTTATTTTTCCTTACATTTTAACACTGTCTGTAGTGAGACATCGCATTGTCATTAAAAAAGTCAATGCAACGGCCTGCTACAGCTTTATCTGGGCGAGTCTCGAGTCTGTTCAGAAAAACTTGCAGTTCTTCCCATACTTTATACATTTTCTTATTGAAGAAAGGACATCCTCTACGACCTATACTCACAACTATTTTCTTAGGTTGAACTTTACGGTATGATATATAATAATTACTTTTATGTTCAGAAATATAAAAGCATAAAACAATTACATTTTTCATCAAGAATTCAAGGGCGATGGCCCATGCCACTCAGTCGACCCATATGTGTATCAACAAACTCGCCAAGTGAGGCAAATCTTGTATACGTACTGTACCAAGACAAATTTTACGAAGAAATTGAACTCGTAAACTGAGAAACTTGTAAAGAGGGGCATTCGTCAACCGAGGTTCCACTGTAATAGTTCAGTTAGTTTAACCACTTATTATGCACCCCATACCCATCCAGTGGATGGTCGTGAAAGGCAATAATACCGTAGGAAATTGTTTTATTTATCTATACAGCAAATTGTTTAATGAGAGGGGTAAACAAGGGTGGCATAAAGGAATCACGCAGCAGAGGCCGACGGCCAATATGTTGGCAGGGAAGAGTGCAGTAATATACGGTTCACCTTATAGTTTGCATAGTTTGGGACACAAAGGATGTGAGGTTTACCCCCTCCCCCAGGCCAACTACTGATGACCTTTTCCAGGATGAAATCTACAAACATTTACAAACTCCAGGAAACCTATTGACTGCTAAGTGAATAGGTGACATGAATCAGATGAAAGGAAACATGCCCAAACTGTGTCTTTCCCACATGTGGATAAAACCCAGGGTCCTTGGTTGTGAACTGAGGACATGGACAACTGTAGTACAGAACTTAAATGAAAGAAAGACTGGAAGGAAGGGAGGTTTGAGAGCTTGAATGAGTGAAAAATGCACAATGTCCTTGAGTATTCTGGAGAAACTCATTCTGTGAACACCTTCTAGTGGAAAAGTCAAGATGAAGTAAGGAGTTGGGGCAACTGATAATATCTAACATCACATTCTGATACTGTACTAACCTGCTAAATAGAGGCCAAGCCAATCAGACGGAGATACTTGATCTTGTGGCAAATTCCATCGGACAGTAACACATTCATTAGAGCTTGCCCCAATGCAATTACGGCTGAGGGTGAGGAAGCAAGATGATGCAGGGGTACAGGGGGCATTGGTAGCAGGTTCGGGACTGGGTGGTGCATCGGGACAATGAGACATAGTTGTCATCCCCCCAGTGCTGCTGCCACCACTGCCCCCCACGCTACCATCTAAACCATCTGAAATAATACAAAATAAACAAATATGCTTCCTCAGTCCTGCACATCTCAACAGCTGTTTCTTTATCCCTAATAATTCCTCTATATGTTTAAAAAAAAATCTTTTAAGCCATGCATATATTGTATATATACAATACTAAATATGAACAAGACAAAATCACTAAAGTAACAAAATATTATGACATCATAATTACAAATTGCAAGTTCCAGTCAAATGGGTAAGCTATTGTATGCCCTCTAACCTTTAAGCTGCTACAGCCTTAACAGCCGTCAACACTGCTGTGCGCAAGAAATACAAAAATTCAAAAATTTTGTTTTGTCTTATAAAAGTGTTTATTTGTGTCCCTTGATCATGGGGGGAAAAAAATTGTAGGTGGCATATTTTGGCCGCAATAGGAAGGGGAAGTCCGGCAAAAATCCAGCGTTGAAAGTAATGAAATGCCATTACACACAGAAATGACAATTGCGTTATGCATCAAATGAACAAATCCACAAGGGCGTGACGAGGATTTGAACCTGCGTCCGAGAGCATCCCAGACGTTGCCTTATTCGACTGAGCTACAACATGGTCAAAAGGAGTTGAAACCGAACTTACTGGATCCTGCAGCCTCTCCGAGGCACAAACCGGGGTTTTACGCAACTCCCCCCATGCACTCGAGCTATGTCAATAGGCCATTGTCCCTCTTCGCCCTTACTTCATTACACAAAGAAATCACAATTGCGTGATGACCATGTCGTAGCTCAGTCGATTAAGGCAGCGTCTGGGATGCTCTGGGACTGTCCTGTCTTTGCTTTGGAGGCTTGGCACTCCTGTTGTTCCCGCACTCCTGAGTGGTGCGAGGCTTCGATGGTGGTTCAGGTTTTCCTGGGGGGGCAAACTTGAGTACCTCAATGAGTACTCGTTTGCTCCTGCCCTTTCCCAGGATGTTGGCATTCTGCAGCTCCATGTGCAGGTTTCCTTTCGGGTGTGCAGGTGGCCGAGGACTTGCACGCCCGGGGCCCTCTTGGCTTCAGCCTTGCGCTTCTTTTCCCTCCTGGAGCTATCTTCTGACTGGCTTGGGGAGGATGTGGGAGCGCTCGTGGTCGTTCCAGGGTCTGGTGCCTTAGGCTCGGCAGCTCGCGCGTCAGCTGCCTTGTTGAAGCTGTTTGCTTCGATCTTGCGGGATGCGGTTTCCCAGTTTTATGCTTCCCAGCTTGCGTGTCGGCAGGCAGTGCTTGCCGCCTCTTTGGAATTGGCCTGGGCCCTGGCTCTTAGGATGTCTTCGCCTTTTAGTCTTTTGTTTTTTGGACTTTCGGCCATGGTGCAGTATATTCAGGCTGCTTCGCCCAGTTGCCATCCTATGTCTGACTTGTTGGTTCTCCGGGGGTCCCAGGGTGGGCCTTCCCGAAGGGGTCGTGCCAGGGCTCGGGTTTACTCTTGTCGTGGTAGGCCTCAGGTGCCAGTTTTGGGTTCGGCTCCACCTTCGTCTGGTCGGCGTAGTGTTCGTTCTGTGCGAGGTTCTGGGTCTCGTAAGGGGGCGCCGGCCTTTTTGCGGTTCGCCCCATTGACAGGGCGATGGGGGGGGGGGGAGAAAGCTTGCGCTATTCGCTCATGCCTGGTCCCACAATTTGTGGGCGTTTCAGGTCATTTCCTTCAGCCTGTGGTGGCGTTGGGTGGCCCCTCCCCCTGTGGGAGGTTTTGGGCTAGCAGAGCAGGCCTCTTCTCCTGCGCTCCATTGAGTCATCTTGGAGTGGGTTCGCTTGGGCGTCGTCAAAACGACGGCATCTCTCAGGTGGGTTTCCCATCTGTTCCCAGTCCCAAAACAGGACTGTGCGGATCTGAGGATCATTCTGGACTTGTCTCGTCTGAACCCCTGGGTTCATTGCCCCTCCTTTCGGATGGCTACGCTGTCCCAGGTTCGACTCCTGTTGGAGCCGGGTTCTTGGATGGTGTCCCTGGACCTCTGGGACGCTTATTGGCATGTCCCGATTCATCCGGGGCTCAGGGCCTGGCTCGGTTTTGTTGTGGGGCATCAAAGTTACTGCTTTTATTGTCTCCCTTTCGGGTTGAACCTGGCATCTTGTGTGTTCACACGCCTTACACGGGTCGTGGTGGCCCGTCTGCGTCTCTTTGGTGTTTGGGTGTTGGCCTACCTCAACGACTGGCTTGTTTGGGTTTACAGCCAGTCCTGTTGTCTGCTAGCCAGGGATTTGGTTCTTTCCCAGCTCGCCGGGTTTGGGTTCTTGGTGAACTGGAGGAAGTCCCATCTGGTTCCCTCCCAGGTTCAGCAGTGGCTGGGTCTTGTGTGGGACTCTCGGACCGTTTCCTTGTCTCTTCCTCTGGAGTCTCTCCTACGGCTGTGGTCCCGCTTGCGACTGTTTCTATGAGGGGGGGGTCCCGGGTCACCTGGCGGTTGCTCAAGGGTTTGTGCTGGAGCTTGAACTTCGCGATGATGGTCTACCCGCCAGGTCGAGTTTGGCTTCGTCGGCTGTTCCAGTTCCTTCAGGGACGTCCCTTCTGCCTCTCTCGCGATCACTGGGTTCGTCCCCCCGAGGGCCTTGTGTCGGCTGCTGCGTCACCAGTTTCCTCTTCGGGTTTTTCAGGGTTCAGTGCCTTGGCGCCTACCCGAGCCCTCGCTTGATGTGTTCACAGATGCTTCATCTCTCGGCTGGGGCTTTGTGACCAGTGCTCACCAGGCCGGCCAGAGACAGTGGGGTCCGTCCTTCCGTCAAGCCCACAGCACGGTGCGGGAGTTTGCGGCTGTGTGGTTTGTGCTGCGGAGGGTTTGGGTCGCCCGCGGATTGACAATTCGGCTCCATTCGGACTGCTCCCCAGTAGTTCATTGCCTGAACTGGGAGGAGTTCTCTTCGGTCCTTGGCTCTTTGGCGCAGGTCGCTTCGGGTGACTCGTCTGGCGAGTTCTTGGGGTTCGGCTCTCCTGGCGATTCACGTCCCCCAGGACGTTGGTGTCTAGCGTCCTGGCGGACGTCCTGTCCCGGTTCATTCCCCTGTCCGTGGAATGGACGGTCGACACCAACTCATTCAGTTGGCTCTGCCAGACGTTTGGGCGCCCGGAGGTGGACCTCTTCGCGTCGGCATGGTCGAAGCGTCTTCCGGTATATGTGGCCCCCTTCCCCAACTGTCAGTATCGATGCCTTCCGGCAGGACTGGTCGAGGTGGGGGTTCCTGTACCTCTTTCCCCCAGTTCAGCTGTTGCTCCAGATCCTGGCTCGCTTGGAGACTTACCAGGGGAAGAGTAATCCTCTTGGCCCTATGGTGGCCGACCCCAGCCATGGTTTCAGGCGCTATTTGCCCGGTGTCCAAACCCGGAGGCAGGCTGTGCCAGTCACAGTGCACCCCACCAGCCTATAAACACCCCCCATATCCAGGACAAGGCAGAAAGCACAAGACCCCTGACAGACCTCAAGTGCAAAGACTACTACAACCGAGGAAGTTCTCTAATGAGTGTGTGTCCCGAACGCCCCAGGGGAAGATAACCCTGACCATGCAAGGGCAGTACTCATGGATCACCTAGGGAAGGTGTTCCTAAATGCATGCAGCTCCAGTACCCAGGAACTCCAGGCCAACACACACAAGTGTAGGAACTGCTGTATAAGGCAAAAATAGCAGAACAGGAAATTGGGGCTTGAAGTGACGTCTGAACGTCAGCACTATCAGTCAAGAACTGGATGTTGGGTAGCCGGCTCCCAAGCATTCGCCTCGTTCCACAAGCTTTCTCGTGCGTTTTTCATCTCCAGCCTGCGCATGCGCTGCCTGAGCCTTCTTGGTCTCTGGACAAAGTTCTTTTCTTTCTCTCTTCCCCTCATTTTGTGGTGGCCCCTTCAGTTTATGATTGCTTCTGGAAAGCTTTGTTTTTGTTGGCTTTGGCCTCTGGGTGTCAGGTTGGGGATCTTCAAGCTCTTCTCCAGCACTAGGAATCTTGTTCCTTTGGTCCTGGTAATCATTTTATTCATTTGCAGTTGGCTGCTCCTTTTATAATAAATAAATAAATAAATTTTTATTCAGGTAAGGTACATACATACAAGGTAAGATACAAAAGTTGATGGATTTATAGATAGAGCTAGTACATACAATGCCTAAAGCCACTATTATGCAAAGCGTTTCAGGCGTTTTCTGGTGAAGAATGAGATGGCGGGCTTTCGAAGGGATCCATTGGTTGTGGATGCTTGGGTGGTTAGGCTGGGGGTGCATCTCGTGCTGTATTCGGTCGTGGATTTACGCCACTAATTGCGGGTCAATGGGTATGTGTCGGTGGACGAGCTCTGGGTTGATCCAGTTTCGTTGGGTCTCTGTTCCAGGGCTCATGTGTCTAGGGTTGTCCTCAGTGTCATTAAGTCTAGTGAGCCTGCAGTCTACCCCCATGTCCATGATGTTCAGAAGTATGCCACTTTTTCGTCTGTCTTTGGCAATATGTCTTGGGACGATATTCGAGTGTGGGAGGTCAAACCAAGGGTCCTGGCCGCCAGGTATCTTGTGAATATCCTGGGCCCTCTGAAGCCTTGTGTTGCTTTGGAGCAACTGTCACGGCCATCTGTCTCTTCCTCGCTTTGAGACCTGCAGTGCTGTCGCCTCCCTGGTACATCCCTGTTTTCATTCTCTATGGGTAGTTCAGGGAGCCAATAGGGCTCCCCACAGAAACCAGTGTTGAATGTAATGAGACAGCGGTTTCTGGGTGAGCCTAGAAACTCCCTAACCTCCCCTCTCTCCCTCCAGTCGGCGGCTTTCCTCATTCAAGAACTGGAGGCGGGTAGCCGGGCTCACCCTCCCCACACTGGGAAAACAGGGTGGCGTTAATGAGCAGGGGGCTAGTTGAATGAAGTGTTGCTTGTTTGTTTTCTTTATGGGGGTGGGAGTTCTTTTGATCTTTTGAGGACATAGAATTTCAACCTACCCAGAAAGGTAGGTGAAACATAACAGACCAGTCTAGTTAGAATTGCAACCTAACTAGACTGGTCTGTTATGTTTCACCTACGTTTCTGGGTGCCTTTCCCGGTCAATGGCATGTATGATATATTTTAAATGTAAAGTGCTCATAGACCTCTATACTCTGAGGGGGCCAGGTTCTGGCGCTGCTCCCCTGTAGGCAACAAGAACTCTGACTGATGACCACAAATAGGATAGTACTATATTAGTGGGAGCTTCAGGGAGCTGACCGGGCTCCCCACAGAAATGCAATACAATCAAATAACCATGTAGAAAAAGTCCTAATTAATATTATTTTGTAGAAAGTGGTTGTAGCCTTACTTTGCCAAGTGTTGGTGTTGTGAGAGATGTCATGGTCTACAGGTTCCTGGGAAACATCAGCAAGCATAGTCCAAAATCTCAGCTCCTTGCATCTTTAATCTCTCACACATTATCTCTAAAACAGTCTGAAAGTTGTCAGATAAAAAAAGTTGTCAGATAAAAAAAGCAACATTGAATGTAATGAAACTCCATCTTCTGGGTGAGCCCCGGAGGCTCCCCGGACTGACATGTATGACCATGGCATCAGTCGACTGGAGTTCTTGCCTACCGGGGACCACGAGCCAGAACCTGGCCCCCTCAGAGAGGCACGAGGAGCAATAGCCTATGGAAACCCCATATATTTGGAAGCATTCCGTGTCTGCCATCGACTGGGGGCTGGTGCCCAGAAAGGTACGTGTAACAAAACAAACCCCACATGGTAAAAATTGCTACTAAAACCCCCACAGATAGGCAAAATTTTCAAACTAAAACAAGCAAACGTCACTACCGCTGTAGCACCAATCGTCTATGCAGCACCCACTAGGTGCTGCATAGGCAGGTTGGGGGGGTGCTTAGTGGGGGCAGTGCTTGGGGGGAGGGGGAGGAGGGGAGACCCAGACCCAGATCGAACTAGCCAGGTACTTGACTGGGTCGATCTGCTGAAAAAAGACGAAGCCACGGAAAACATCGCAGGTTCGGACACCGAGCAAGCAGCGCCTGAAACTAAGGCTGGGCCGGCCACCAAGGAGCCAACAGGACTACTCCCCTGGCAAGTCTCCAACTGTACCAAGACTCGAAGTAACAGCTGGACCGGGAAAAAGAAGTACAGATAACCCCACCTCGACCAGTCCTGCCGAAAGGCATCCACCACGTAGGCCTCACAGTCGGGAAAGGGCACCACATAGACGGGAAGAAACTGGGACTACGCCAAAGCGAAGAGATCCAAGAGCGCGGATGAAACCAAAGTTGAAGCAACTAATGCCCCCAAGTCCAGGGCCTTATAACCCAAGCGAAGCAGCCTCGGGGCATCTGGATGAGCACGTTGCAGCAACTGATATCTAGCATGCAACGCTGAAGCCACCTGTACCTGAACATTAATATTAGAAGACTGGGTAATCTGGAGCACGAGCAAGGAGCAAGACTAGCAAGACTCCAGGTCAAAGGTGTCATTGACCCAACAGGCAGCATGACGGAGGTAAAATTGGTGAGTGTCACCCTGAAACAAATTGATGGAGCAACCATCAAACTCGCACTCGGCGAGTTGGAGCTTAAGAGGACGCATCCATAGGTGCAAAGAGCCCCAGTGGGTTTTCCAGGGGCCTTAGGATTACTACTAAAGGAAGCCCCGGCAAGGCATTGCTAATCAGTTAGGCCCAAACTACCAAGAGAACTGCTGAAATCCTGAGCCCCCTATGATGTATACAAGCACGGGGGGAGGAGGGGAGCCTAGAGGAAGATAATAACCAAGCGGGTGGGTAACGAAGGGGGCAGTCGACCACCAAGCAAAACAAATAAAAACAAAAAGAAAACCCCACGAAAGCACAACGTCTCCAAAGAGGAACAGAACCAGCAGCTGTGAATAATGGGAGACAAGCCGCACAATACCTTGCGCCCCTACCAACAACAATACCACTTCCTACCCAAGGCCAAACAGCGGCAACAAAAACCCCAGCTGGCCCCAAGGGCGAGCAATTGCCGAGCAGCAAAAGACCCCTACGGAAGCGATTCCGGATCGTCCTGTGGAAGATAACTCCAAGATGCTAGGGTAGTACTTACAGTGAACTTTGGGAAGATGGCCCAAAGCACATGCAGCCCTAGTACTGATGAATTACTCCTGGCATGTGCGCTACACACAGCAGAAATACACCACATGGCACAGAATTGCAAGTCAGAGGCCAGAGTCGACAACTGCCATAGTCAACATCAGCCGAGGAACCGAATGCTGTAGCGGTCGGCGTGGGGGTCCAGGTCCCCCTCTTCCCCTCCTGGGGGGGGGGGGTGGGGGGGGGCCTGCACGGATGATAGGAGCAACAGCGTTAGTGACGTTTGCTTGTTTTAGTTTAGTTTTAGTTTGCTTGTTTTAGTATTTGCCTATCTGGGTGTAACACTGTAAAAGTGTTTGGGTTAGTTTATTTAAAATATATATAGAGTACACGAGTCACAGACAAGGATCTGAGAGGCGCCAGTTGTCTGCCTGAGATCTCACACCTCTAACCGTTAATGACCCCAAGTGACCTGAGGTCAGATCATGATAATTTCACCTTGCTTCCGCTAAGCGTATAATTGGAGCCGGGTAGCCTTCAAACATGCCGACGTTTAAGGAGTGGCTTGGTAGTGCCGGAGGCTATCTACTTGTGGGCGGAGTTAGCTACTAGGTTCCCCAATATAAACTCGGAGAGCTATCCAGCAGAAAGCATTAACAGACAGAGCAGCAGACGAGCCAGGAGAGCAGAGAGAAGACAGCCCTATCAGGGAGGCTGTCGGCCGGCAGGGGCGAGACAGTCTCTGTCAAGCTACAGACCCCCCCCCCCTCTCTATTCAACTTAGACTCAGTCCTCGGTGAGTGAACAGTGAGGTGACTTGGTCGTGTTTACATATGTTGTGTGATGATCAGGGGCAGTCAAGTTGTAGGGTTCTCGAATTCTTGGATGATGACTCACTTTGCATATTAAACTGGAACATTTTAATTGGATTGCTAAATTATGATACTTAATGTGAAATATAATTGTTGAATTATCATTTAAATGGACTTTATTTTGTTCCCTAGAGATTTGAGTTGAGGTGAGAAAGCTTCTGTGGTTACTGGTTTCATGGTTTAGAATGAGTACATGATTAAAGATGGGAACTACTAATAATGAACTCATGATAACATCTTTTGAGAACTTTGTGATACAGGCAAGTTCCATTCCTTGTCTTGTATGTAATGGTCTAGAATGGATGGTGGCAGCATTTCGTCTTCTACTATCTACTCTTCTACTTCTATCTACTCTTCTACTTCTACCTATCTACACCTCTCCCTCCACCCCTCTCTAAACTCTCACTTTCAACTAATGACCCTCCTCGCTCCTCCCACCTCTCTCCCTCTCACCCCAAACCCTCACTAATTACTTCACTATTCATTTCTTTCCTTTCGTTTTCTCTTATACGTTGGTGGCAATGATTCTGTATTCTAGAGTTCTCTCTAGAGTTTCGGGTAACTGATCAAGTCTCGGCGCCTTGTAGTCTTAGCACCTAGGTAGTCAAATACCTAGGTTACAAGGTGTTGAACGAGAGAGGTTGTCTTAGGAACTCTGGGAGTGCTCTAGAATAGTTAGCTAACTGAGGACGGGATAACGGACTAGAGAGAGCTGTTTCCCCCGGCCTCGTTAGTTAACTGGGGGGTGGAATAATGGACAGATAGAGCTATTTCCCCCACCTCCCGTTACATGGGAGCCGGTCGGCCGAGCGGACAGCACGCTGGACTTGTGATCCCGTGGTCCTGGGTTCGATCCCAGGCGCCGGCGAGAAACAATGGGCAGAATTTCTTTCACCCTATGCCCCTGTTACCTAGCAGTAAAATAGGTACCTGGGTGTTAGTCAGCTGTCACGGGCTGCTTCCTGGGGGGTGGAGGCCTGGTCGAGGACCGGGCCGCGGGGACACTAAAGCCCCGAAATCATCTCAAGATAACCTCAAGATATCTGTGGGGGTTTTAGTAGCAATTTTTACCATGTGGGGTTTGTTTTGTTACACCTACTTTCCTGGATGCCAGACCCCAGTCAATGGCAGACATGGAATGCTTCCAAATACATGGGGGGTTTCCACAGGCCATTGCTCTTCATGCCTCTCTGAGGGGGCCAGGTTCTGGCTCGTGGTCCACAATAGGCAAGAACTCCAAACGACTGATGCCACAGTCTAATATATATCAGTCTGTAATTAGTCTGTAAAATGTAATTAGACAAGAAGGATACACATTGCCAGTAAAAAAAAAAAAAGGATTCAATAATGATTGACATAAATAATACTCTATATTGAGCAGCCCATCCTCTGAATATGGGGAGGTAAATGTAACAGCACAAGTAAGTGTAATTATGTACTATTCCTAGCAGTCACGAATTATACTGTACTTATTACACTTAGTATTAAACCGTAATGTCAATTCGGAGGATGCGTTGATATTGAGATAAGAGATTATTATTCGTTATATAATAACTATATTTTTATACTATATAAAAATGCTATACATAATTGATAATCAAAAATGTACAGTATATACAAAAAATGCTAATCAATGTAATTAGACAAGTAGAATACAGGTCACAAGTAAAAATAAGGATTAAATACAGATTGACTATGTTTAGAATAAAATAAACTAAGGAAAATTACTAAAATAAAACTAGAATAAATGAGGTATACAAATTATTCTACCGACAGTGGTAGACCCCACTGTCAGACACAAGTACACAGTATGAAGACCACTGTCAGCTATGAGTACACAGCCTCAAGACCCCACTGTCAGCCACGAGTTACACTGCATAAAATCCCCACTGTCAGCCATGAGTACACAGCTTCAAGACCCCACTGTCAGCCACGAGTACACAGCCTCAAGACCCCACTGTCAGCCACGAGTACACAACCTCAAAACCCCACTGTCACCCACGAGTACACAGCCTCAAGACCCCAATGTCAGCCACGAGTTACACTGCCTAAAATCCCCACTGTCAGCCATGAGTACACAGCTTCAAGACCCCACTGTCAGCCATGAGTACACAGCTTCAAGACCCCACTGTCAGCCACGAGTACACAACCTCAAGACCCCCACTGTCAGCCATGAGTACACAGCCTCAAGACCCCACTGTCAGCCAGCCCTGAGTACACAGCCTCAAGACCCCAATCTCAGCCATGAGTATACAATCTGAAGACACCATTGTCATGCACAAGTACACAGCCTGAAGACCCCACTGTCAGCCACAAGTACGCAGCCTCACAACCCCAATGACAGTCACGAATAAACTTCCTCAAGACCCCACTGTTAGCCATGAGTACACATCCTCATGACCCCACTGTCAGCCACAAATACACAGCCTCAAGAACCTATTGTCAGCCATGAGTACACAGCCTCAAGACCCCACTGTCAACCACGAGTACACAGCCTCAAGACCCCATTGTCAGCCATGAGTACATAGCTTCAAGATCCCACTGTCAGCCATGAGTACAAAGCCTCAAGACCCCACTGTCACCCATGAGTACACAGACTAAAGACCCCACTGTCAACCACGAGAACACAGCCTCCAGACCCCACTGTCAGCCATGAGTGCACAGCCTCATAACCCCACTGTCAGCCACTAGTACACAGCCTCAAGAACCTATTGTCTGCCATGAGTACACATCCTCAAGACCCCACTGTCAACCACGAGTACACAGCCTCAAGACCCCACTGTTACCCACGAAGACACGACCTAAAGACCCCACTGTCAGCCACGAGTACACAGCCTGAAGATCCCATTGTCAGCCTCGCATACGCTGCCTCAAGACCCCATTGTTACCTACGGGTACCAAGCCTCAAGACCCCACTGTGAGCCATGAGTACACAACCTCATGACCCAACTGTCAGCCACTAGTACACAGCCTGAAGACCCCATTGTCAGCCACGAGTACACAGCCTCCAGATCCCACTATCAGACATGAGTACACAGCCTGAAGACCCTACTGTCAGCCACGTGTTCACAGCCTCAAGACCCCACTGTCAGCCACGAGTACACAGCCTCCAGACCCCACTGTCAGCCACGAGTACACAGCCTCCAGACCCCACTGTCAGCCTCGAGAAGACTGCCCCTTGACCCACACTGTCAGCCACGAGTACACTGCCTCAACACCCCACTGTCAGCCACGAGTACACAGCCTCAAGATCCCACTGTCAGCCACGAGTACACAGCCTCAACACCCCACTGTCAGCCACGAGTACACAGCCTCAAGACCCCACTGTCAGCCACGAGTACACATTCTCATGACCCCACTGTCAACCACGAGTACACAGCCTCAAGACCCCACTGTCAACCACAAGTACACAGCCTCATGACCCCACTGTCAGCCACGAGTACACAGCCTCAAGACCCCATTGTCAGCCATGAGTACATAGCTTCAAGATCCCACTGTCAGCCACAAGTACACAGCCTCAAGACCCCACTTTCAGCCACGAGTACACAGCCTGAAAACTATACTGTCAGCCATGAGTACACAGCCTCAAGACCCCACTGACAGCCATGAGTACACAGCCTCAAGACCCCCACTGTTACCCACGAAGACACAGCGTAAAGACCCCACTGTTAGACACGAGTACACAGCCTCCAGACCCCACTGTCAGCCACGAGTACACAGCCTCCAGACCCCACTGTCAGCCACGAGTACACAGCCTCCAGACCCCACTGTCAGCCACGAGTATACAGCCTCCAGACTCCACTGTCAGCCACGAGTACACAGCCTCCAGACCCCACTGATAGCCACAAGTACACAGCCTCCAGACCACACTGTCAGCCACGAGTACACAGCCTCCAGACTCCACTGTCAGCCACGAGTACACAGCCTCCAGACCCCACTGTCAGCCACGAATACAGTCTCAAGACCCCACTGTCTGCCACGATTACACAGCATCTTGACCCCCACTGTCAGCCACGAATACACAGCCTCTAGATCCCACTGTCAGCCACGAATACACAGCCTCAAGACCCCACTGACAGCCATGAGTACACAGCCTGAAGACCCCTACTGTCATCCAGGAGTAAACAGCCTGAAGACCCCCACTGTCAGTCATGAGTACACCGCCTCAAGATCCCAGTGACAGCCACGAGTACATAGCCTCAAAACCCCACTGACAGCCACGAGTAAACATTATGAAGAAACCACTGTCAGCGACAAATAAACAGCCTCACAACCCCACTGACAGCCACGAGTACACAGCCTCATGACCCCCACTGCCAGCCACGAGTACACAGCCTCCAGACCCCACTGTCAGCCACGAGTACACAGCCTCTAGACCCCACTGTCAGCCACGAGTACACAGCCTCCAGACCCCACTGACAGCCACAAGTACACAGCCTCCAGACCCCACTGTCAGCCACGAGTACACAGCCTCCAGACCCCACTGACAGCCACGAGTACACAGCCTCCAGACCCCACTGACAGCCACGAGTACACAGCCTCCAGACCCCACTGTCAGCCATGAGTACACAGCCTCCAGACCCCACGTCAGCCACAAGTACTCAGCCTCCAGACCCCACTGTCAGCCACGAGTACACAGCCTCCAGACCCCACTGTCAGCCACGAGTACACAGCCTCCAAACCCCACTGTCAGCTACGAGTACACAGCCTCCAGACCCCACTGTCAGCCACGAGTACACAGCCTCCAGACCCCACTGTCAGCCACGAGTACACAGCCTCCACACCCCTGACAGCCACGAGTACACAGCCTCCAGACCCCACTGTCAGCCATGAGTACACAGCCTCCAGACCCCACTGTCAGCCACAAGTACACAGCCTCCAGATCCCACTGTCAGCCGAGTACACAGCCTCCAGACCCCACTGACAGCCATGAGTACACAGCCTCAAGACCCCACTGTCAGCCACGAGTACACAGCCTCCAGACCCCACTGTCAGTCACGAGTACACAGCTTCCAGACCCCACTGTCAGCCACGAGTACACAGCCTCCAGACCCCACTGTCAGCCACGAGTACACAGCCTCCACACCCCACTTACAGCCACGAGTACATAGCCTCAATACCCCACTGTCAGCCACGAGTACACAGCCTCCAGACCCCACTGACAGCCACGAGTACACAGCCACAAGGCCTCAAGACCCCACTGTTAGACATAAGTACACAGCCTCAATACACCACTGTCAGCCACGAGTACACAGCCTCCAGACCCCACTGTCAGCGAGTACACAGCCTCCAGACCCCACTACACAGCCTCCAGACCCCACTGTCAGCCACGAGTACACAGCCTCCAGACCCCACTGTCAGCCACGAGAACACAGCCTCAAGAGCCATCATACAAGCCAAACAGTCATCATGGTGTCAGCCAGACGCGCCCACCGTGTCACGAGACACAACCCACCATAACAAGAGTAGACACCATGTCAGCGCCCCAGGGTGCAAGGAAAGGTTGCAGCTCAACGACATCCACATGTATTTTATTTAGTAATAAACAAGAAGGTACACTGTGTTCGTGAGAGTACATAACATCGGTGTTCTTACATTCTTGCAAAGCTACTAAACCGCATAGTTTCGGGCAGGACGACGCATGGCACATAAAACATCACTTAATACACATAACCCAGGAGACCAATTCCTACATAAACTACATTTACAAACACCCATGACTGCCTCATACGCCCCAAAAAAGGTATATTTCCAGAACGAAAACATCTTAAAGTTTGGGTGTACCAGTCAACTCTTCCACCCCACATTTGACTCTCCCAGGACCCTCCTTCCCCAGCCTCGGGTTAATGACGTCTCCATTATTTCTCTGACGTCAATTACACCATCATTATCAATCATATAAGAGTGGTTCATTATTATCATACCTCGAGTAAGGCTGTCAGTGTGGAACACCTGAGAGCTCGCTGCTCTAGCTGCTCTCAGCAAACAGATCAATAGTAGACTAACACCATGCATGTCAACAATATACAAATTCTTATAAAAAATATATTGCCCTTGAATTATAGGACCCTTTTCTAACATCTTTGTGCTTTTCTTATCTAGTTTTTTAAATGAGGAATAATATAATATTGATAAATATATCGGTTGTGTGATTTTGTCATAATATTTCTAAGGTTGGTGGAAGAATATTGGAACCTCGAGGGAGTTTACTTCCCTAAGGGAGCAAGGGACCAACCAGGGAACAATAATGCAACATTGTTATTGTTCACACTACACATGCAACATTGCTATTACCACAGTAAACATGCAACATTATTATTGTTAAAAAAACACATGCAACATTCTTATTATTTACACTATACGTGTAACATTCTAATTGTTCACACTACTAGTATAACATTATTTATTTATTTAAATATTTATTTATTTATTTGTGTACAAGAAGGTACATTGGAGGTTAAGAGAGTACATATCGTTAAGAGAGTACATATTAAGAGTACAAAATCGACTTGAGAATGGTCCAGGATGGACCGAAACGTCGGCGTCCCTTCATGTGCTTCTGAAACCCTTTCCACTACCGCCCACAAGATGGGTATGGGGTGCATAATAAATGAACAAAACTAACTAACTACTTCAGCCACGTTATTGTGGCTCATCGCCTGCAAGAGAGTACATAATAATGATGATTTGATGAATTTGCATTCTTGTACAGCCACTAGCACGCATAGCGTTTCGGGCAAGTCCTTAATCTAACATTTCTGATCAGAGGAAGGAATGACACCAACACATGGGGGCGTAAATTTATTTAGACAGGATAAATAATTCTGCAGAAGTAAAACAGGCTTCTAAGTAGGTCTTAACAAATGTATAACATAGCCGTGGCTAACTCAAAGTACACGAAACATCTAAATTGTACACCCGTAGTAAAATAACGTAATCTTATAGCCTAGTAACAAACTCTGCAGAAACCTAATGTCCTATTGTCTAGAATTAGCAGTGAGGCGAATGTAACAAATCTAATTCTAAGTATAACAGGACACCAAAGTGAACAACATAACATAAGGGAAACCCTAGCTGGAGAATAATCAGGCGGCGGAAAAATACATAGTGACTGGGAAAGCCTGATATGTATTTGGAGAAGAAAATAACCCCAGGCCAGAGGCCGAGCCGCCAAGGAAGAAGGAATTACCTGACATAAGGTAGGGCTTACTAGTAGCATGGCTGTAAAGTCAAAGTAGTAGCTGCGGACAGCGGAGCACTTGGGGACGGGCGCTGCAACCACCCCCCCCCCCCCCACCCATCCCCAGTGAAACGGGAGGAAAGACGTGAGGAACAACGACTGACGTAGTCAGAACCGGGAAAACTGGCAGCCAGCAGAAAGGGGGGAGGAGGGAGGGCGCTTCATGTATCGTGGACCGGGTCGGGAGAGGGAGTGAGAGCGAGGCCTGACTTGCCGCGCTTTTTATGCCACCCAGGCTGGCCGCACCGTGCCTTGCGGAACGCGATGCGCAAATTTCTCTTCCTTCCCCATCAGAAACTCCACCGCCTTTCGTTCAAAGGCAGTGGCCATTAATTTGAAGTAGATGATTTCCAGTAAAATTGACAAAATATGTTTACAGGCACAGTGTGAGAAATTTTGACACAATATACAAAGATTGGATTAATACACAATAATGACATGGATTACTAGGTACATTAGGGTAAAATTTCAGGGTTATCAATTGGTTCATTGTAGCACAATTTGAGGATTGTGGATTTGGGGATTGGAGGATTTGAGGATTGTTATTGTTTACACTACTAGTATAACACTGTTATTGTACACACTACTAGTATAACTGTTACTGTTCACACTAATAGTATGACATTGTTATTGTTCACACTACTAGTATAACATTGTTATTGTTACCTTGAGGTGCTTCCGGGGCTTAGTGTCCCCGCGGCCCGGTCGTCGACCAGGCCTCCTAAGTTCACACTACTTTTAGTATAAGATTGTTATTGTTCACATTACTAGTATAACATTATTGTTCACATTACTAGTATAACATTATTGTTCACATACGTAATGGATCCCGTAGCCTCTCCGAGGCACAAACCAGGCTTTTACACAACCCCCCCCCCCCCCTGCACCCGAGCTATGTCAATAGGCCGTTCTCCCTCTTCGCCCTTACATCATTACACAGAGATCACACTAACGTGATTCATCAAATGAACAAATCCACAAGGGCCGTGCGAGGATTCGAACCTGCGTCCGGGAGCATCCCAGACACGAATCACGTTAGTGTGATCTGTGTGTAATGATGTAAGGGCGAAGATGGAGAACGGCCTATTGACATAGCTTGGGTGCAGGGGGGGGGGGTTGTGTAAAAGCCTGGTTTGTGCCTCGGAGAGGCTACGGGATCCAGTAAGTTCAGTAGAACTTCGGTTTCAACCCTTTTACCCCTGTCGTAGCTCAGTCGATTAAGGCAGTCTGGGATGCTCCCGGACGCAGGTTCGAATCCTCGTCACGGCCCTTGTGGATTTGTTCATTTGATGAATCACGTTAGTGTGATCTCTGTGTGTACTGTTTTTCAACTTTCCTACGGGTGGCTATGCATGTTATGATGACTATGATCAGTGTTCCATGGCTGTAATACTCCAAAAACCCGGAATATTTCGAGATTTTACAGAGCGCGGCCAAACACGTCTCTCCCTCGCACACTTTTGTATGTAACTGACCTCCCAGTGTTATAAATTAGATGTTTCCTCATGCTGTCTTACGGGCTCACCATAGCCCGTGCTACTGGAACTTATCGTTCTGAGTAGCGAATCTTAAACATGCTGTCTGCCTTGATGGGAGACATCTCCCGTCCACGAGGCTAACCATAGCCCGTGCTTCTTGCCCCGCTCCTGTGCCAGGTAAGTTACGGGCTCACCATAGCCCGTGCTACTTGGAACTTGTTCAGAGTAGCTGAATCTATAACTACAACATGCTGTCTGTCAGAGAGTGGGTTACGGGCTCATCATAGCCCGTGCTACATGGACACTTCGTTCTGAGTAGCTAAATCTGAAACAACAGTATAGTGTGACGATAATCTCTTTCAAGAGAGATTGAGCCTGTTCTTCCCTACAAAGTACGTAAAAACAAAAGATAATATAGAAGATACGTACAGCAAGTATCTCCAAAACGTTTTGCCCAGAGAGCAAAACGTATCCAGCACACCGGCACACCTGCTAGCTACCACCACCGTAAACCAGCAAACTACTTGTCCTTTGCCTGCCTGTCGCTGATTGGCTGGTGTCCCGTCGCACCTGCCCTCCGCCACAAGTTGATGTCTGGGCTGCAGTGGCCCAGTATTGTCAGAATATATCAGTGCTCCTTGCAGTTGACATCTCTCGCTGGTAGACTAAGCCTTGGCTTTCGTGTACTAAGGGAGGTGGCAGCTCGAAGCCAATATTCCATAGCCCATGCTATTTGGAACTTTTTGTTCGGAGTGGCCGAATCTAAAACAATCCTTTTCTACCAAACTATTTCCCCCGTCTCTGAATTTCTGGCTGTTAAATGCGACGAGTTATGCTCTACAATGAGGATTTAATTTCATCCCTACCCTTTCACTGGCATCAACTTTATCTTCAGATTTCAATTTTTTGTTTAAGTTACCGTATGCTTTCAAATAAATTAAAATTAATGAGGACATGGAGGATCACTACAGTTACGTGGTTAATACATTAAATATACTGAATAAAATGCAAACGTAACTGCTGCAACATCTAGCAATATATATACTATGCAATCTTGTACAGTGCAATATTTGTATATTTAGCCCATATGTCTTTGTAGATTTAAATACCAACGATCGAAGCTCATCGTACTGCAATTACTATCACAATATTACCATAATTATTGGTAAAATATCTATACCATCTCCCTCATTGCATGAATTAAAGAAACTCTGTACAACATTAATATTTTATTGATGACTCAATGCAGTTTTAACAGTTGTCCTTGAAGGCTAATGCTGCTGGAAAAGAAAATTTCATTAATAATGACCGAGATCGTTCGCTTTTAATTGCCCCTTACGACTTAACATTCGTCCTACCTGTAGCAAAAATTATTTCTGTTTATCAATAAAATTTGTTATATCTTTAAAAGAAAATCTCTCCTTTTAATCACCCCATTGAAATAATCTAAGAGGATTTCATATTCATGTCAATAGACTGGCAACTTTAAACTTTTGTACTAACTAGAGGACTATGGCGGGAATTTAATGATCAAGTTCAGGCAATTGAGGGGAGGGAAGGTGAATTCTTAACTCACAAATCCAGTCCTCTGCTACTTGGTGAATCCCTTGACCGATTCAAATCCTTATCCACAAGTGATCCATGATCCTCCAGTGAGTTCCTCCAAGCGCAGAACCTGTCCCCGCATAATCCTTTTGTCTCCTTGGTAAGGCCAAGTGTGAGATCCTTATGAGAGCATCTCATCCTTTTTGATCCAAGTTATCCATTAGTGTGATCCTCCCCGTGCTAGCTTGCTGCAGCATTGTATCCTCCTGATCCTCTGATCCTGATTGAGCCTCTCGTCCATGCCACTGTGAATGCTCCTCCTCCACTTCTCAAATCCTAGCTTTCCAAAATCTACGATAATTTGGCAGGAAGGATGGCCATATTGCAGCAGCCTACTAGCTACGGGACTGTGTAGAAAGAAAAACAAGCAATTAGTCTCGAGTAATACGATGGGTATAGCCTACAGGTAAAGTTTCATTCAATACAAAATTCAGAAGACAAATTTTTATTGAACAGTTTATTAAAACGTATGTGGTGTATTTACACACTGAATACTAAGAAAAATATCAGATATAAGAATTGTTCAGGTGAGAAGGCAGAATGGAATGTGAACATAAAACAGTTAGCACAGTCATTAAACAATTGAACTTAACTGGCTTAGGCGCCACTAAATAAACTTAATTGGCATTATTACCTATGAATATTTTCATAACATATGCCTTTCATAAACTTAGTACAGTCTTACATTAAATCTAAAATTTAACTTGCCCTTTGTATACGAAGACATTGAAAGTTTCCTTAATACTGAACATTGACCACAGAATAGACTGCATACACCTATGTAAATTGAAAATCTTAGTTAGTCACCATTAATAAAAATTCTAAAAAAGTACAAAAAAAACTTTCCATTAGGCTGCATTTCCACAAAACTAGTATGCCACTGAGCAATAATTTTATCTGGCTGCCCAAACTTGCTTCAAATATGTTGTCACTGAACTTTTTCACAACTTTTTAAACTACGGTGCCACACTCTTAAAGGACCTTTCAACAAATTATGAAATAATAAGGACAGCCAGTGAACCAAAGGGCAAGTGGGACGTTTGACTGGCAACAGTGCAGACCTGACGTCCTCCAGTCCAGTGCCAACGGCTGTATGGGTCCGGAGACACTGTCAGGTCAGCTCAGGGCACCCGAGGTCAGTGTGGAGATCACAGCTCCTTTTAAAGATGAGTCCAAATAGGATGCTGCAGCCTATTACTTGGCACCCATCACAAAATTGGGTAACTCCAATAGGTAGTCATGTGGGCTAGATATTCTTCATTCTTCTCAACCCAAGACTTGTACCAGGAATCACATACTGTACTCATTTCAGACTTTAGTAACGCTCTCGGGACCTAGACCGAGATCGTGAGGGTGACCGTGAGTATGATCGTCGCACTGGAGAGTAAGTGGGAGAACCTCGGTATCCACGAGGTGAACGCGATCGGGACCGTGACCGTCCACGACCACCCCCACCACCGCCCGAGGCTGGACTAGATCCTCCATAATCTTCTTTGACACGAATGTAGGAATTTTCCCCCTGCAATAAGAAAATTATTAAATTAAAGGAATGATCTCGTTTACATGTATATAGACATTGCAAATCTGCCACAACACACTGGTTCCTATCAACTCATTTTAAGGATTACAGTGTGTTTACGAATATAGAGAACATATAAAATCCTTACCTCATTGTGTGTGTGTGTGTGTGGTGTAATTACCTAAGTGTAATTACCTAAGTGTAGTTACAGGATGAGAGCTACGCTCGTGGTGTCCCGTCTTCCCAGCACTCTTTGTCATATAACGCTTTGAAACTACTGACGGTCTTGGCCTCCACCACCTTCTCACTTAACTTGTTCCAACCGTCTACCACTCTATTTGCGAAGGTGAATTTTCTTATATTTCTTCGGCATCTGTGTTTAGCTAGTTTAAATCTATGACCTCTTGTTCTTGAAGTTCCAGGTCTCAGGAAGTCTTCCCTGTCGATTTTGTCAATTCCTGTTACTATTTTGTATGTAGTGATCATATCACCTCTTTTTCTTCTGTCTTCTAGTTTTGGCATATTTAATGCTTCTAACCTCTCCTCGTAGCTCTTGCCCTTCAGTTCTGGGAGCCACTTAGTAGCATGTCTTTGCACCTTTTCCAGTTTGTTGATGTGCTTCTTAAGATATGGGCACCACACAACAGCTGCATATTCTAGCTTTGGCCTAACAAAAGTCATGAACAATTTCTTTAGTATATCGCCATCCATGTATTTAAATGCAATTCTGAAGTTAGAAAGCATAGCATAGGCTCCTTGCACAATATTCTTTATGTGGTCCTCAGGTGATAGTTTTCTATCTAGAACCACTCCTAGATCTCTTTCTTTATCAGAATTCTTTAAAGATTTCTCACATAATATATAGGTTGTGTGGGGTCTATGTTCTCCTATTCCACATTCCATAACATGACATTTATTAACATTAAATTCCATTTGCCAAGTGGTGCTCCATATACTTATTTTGTCCAGGTCTTTTTGAAGGGCATGACAGTCATCTAAATTTCTTATCCTTCCTATTATCTTAGCATCATCAGCAAACATGTTCATATAATTCTGTATACCAACTGGTAGATCATTTATGTACACAATAAACATCACTGGTGCAAGAACTGAACCCTGTGGTACTCCACTTGTGACATTTCTCCATTCTGATACATTGCCTCTGATTACTGCCCTCATTTTTCTATCAGTCAGAAAATTTTTCATCCATGATAGAAGCTTACCTGTCACCCCTCCAATATTTTCCAGTTTCCAGAACAACCTCTTATGTGGAACTCTGTCGAAAGCCTTTTTTAGGTCCAGATAGATGCAGTCAACCCAACCATCTCTTTCCTGTAATATCTCTGTGGCTCGATCATAGAAACTGAGTAAATTCGATACACAGGATCTTCCAGATCGAAAACCATACTGTCTGTCTGATATTATATCATTTCTCTCTAGGTGTTCTACCCATTTAGTTTTGATTAGTTTTTCCAATACTTTCACTATTACACTTGTCAATGATACAGGTCTATAATTGAGGGGGTCTTCCCTGCTGCCACTTTTGTAGATTGGAACTATGTTAGCCTGTTTCCACCCGTCTGCTACGATTCCTGTACACAGGGATGCCTGAAAGATCAGGTGAAGTGGAATGCTGAGCTCAGATGCACATTCTCTCAGAACCCATGGTGAAACGCCATCTGGGCCAGCTGCTTTGTTCTTACCGAGCTCCTTGAGCATTTTTTCCACTTCGTCTCTAGACACCTCTATGTGTTCTATGTTGTTCTCTGGAATTCTTATTGTATCTGGTTCCCTAAAGATTTCATTTTGTACAAACACACTTTGGAACTTTTCGTTTAGTGTTTCACACATTTCCTTTTCATCTTCCGTGAATCTATTTCCCATTTTCAACCTCTGAATATTATCCTTTACCTGCAATTTGTTGTTTATGAATTTATAGAATAGACCTGGTTCTGTTTTACATTTGTCCGCAATCCCTTTTTCAAAATTTCTTTCTGCCTCTCTCCTCACTGCCGTGTAGTTGTTTCTCGCATCTTTGTATCGCTGGTATGTTTGGGGGTTCGGCCTCTTCCTGTATTGATTCCATTTTTGTGTCTTTCGGTCTCTAGCCCTCTCGCAATTTCTATTGAACCAATCCTGTTTCCTAGTTCTGCATCTCTGTTTTGGTATAAATTTTTTTGTGCCTTTATCATATATTTCACAAAACTTGCCATACATCTCATTCACTTCCTTGCCTAGCATCAAGTCTGTCCAATTATACTCACTAAAAAAATTTCTAAGGTCACCATAATGTCCTCTCCTGAAGTCTGGTTTTTCAACTGCTTCAACCTCCTTATTTTCTTCCAGCTTATAACGCATTGCATACTTTATTCCCAAAAAGACATGGTCACTTTTACCCAAGGGAGGAAGGTACTGAATGTCAAATATCTCTTCCTCCTTCCTGGTAAATATCAAATCTAGCATGGAGGGAACGTCCCCTTCCCTCATCCTCGTAGCTTGTTTAACATGTTGATACAAGAATGTTTCCAGGATGAGGTCTACAAATTTACAGGTCCAAAAATCTTCTGTTTTAGCTACGGCTGTATGGGTCCGGAGACACTGTCAGGTCAGCTCAGGGCACCCGAGGTCAGTGTGGAGATCACAGCTCCTTTTAAAGATGAGTCCAAATAGGATGCTGCAGCCTATTACTTGGCACCCATCACAAAATTGGGTAACTCCAATAGGTAGTCATGGGGGCTAGATATTCTTCATTCTTCTCAACCCAAGACTTGTACCAGGAATCACATACTGTACTCATTTCAGACTTTAGTAACGCTCTCGGGACCTAGACCGAGATCGTGAGGGTGACCGTGAGTATGATCGTCGCACTGGAGAGTAAGTGGGAGAACCTCGGTATCCACGAGGTGAACGCGATCGGGACCGTGACCGTCCACGACCACCCCCACCACCGCCCGAGGCTGGACTAGATCCTCCATAATCTTCTTTGACACGAATGTAGGAATTTTCCCCCTGCAATAAGAAAATTATTAAATTAAAGGAATGATCTCGTTTACATGTATATAGACATTGCAAATCTGCCACAACACACTGGTTCCTATCAACTCATTTTAAGGATTACAGTGTGTTTACAAATATAGAGAACATATAAAATCCTTACCTCATGTGAGCGGAACTTTGAGTCGTCTAACTTCTTAACGGCATATTTCATATCCTCATAACGGAGAAATTCAACAACTCCAGTGCCATCTTTGTAAACATCTGCATAACATACATCCCCAGCTTCTCGCATGTGGTCTTTTAAGTCCTGCCAGCTGCCCGTTGGAGGCAATCCTAAAAGGAAGAAACTTTCAGTTCTCATGTTTAAGGGATGTAATAAGCCCTGCCAGTGAATACTGTAACTGACAATGGGGCGGTAAAAAAATACACGAATACTTGCAAATAAATAAATTCACAACAATATACATGTTTAACCACATTAGAATAATCAAGAAAAGTATCCATGGGTTGGCATATACAATTATACAAATACTGTGCTGTAAATTTATACTTTTCAACTGCTTTTCATATATATATATATGTGTGTGTGTGTGTGTGTGTGTGTGTGTGTGTGTGTGTGTGTGTGTGTGTGTGTGTGTGTGTGTGTGTGTGTGTGTGTGTGTGTGTGTGTATGTTGTACCTAGTAGCCAGAATGTTGTACTCGGCCTACTATGCAAGGCTCAATTTGCCTAATAAGCCAAGATTTCCTGAATTTATATATTTTCTAATTTTTTCTTATAAAATGATAAATCTGGCTATTTCATTATGTACAAGTTAATTTGTTTAAATTTAAGTTAAAACTAACTTAGATATATGACCAAACCTAAGCAACCTTACCTATCTTAACCTAACCTTAGGTAATACAAATATGTCAATAATTTATGTTCCTAATATAATATAATAATAATTAAAATAAAACTAATTGGAAACAATTTATTAAAAATTAAAAAAATCACTCGGCATATTAGGCAAATTGGGCCTTTGCATAGTAGGCTAAGTGTGCACGTTCTGGCTACTAGGTACGACTATATATTATATACATATATATTAGTATATTTTGGTAGCAGTCTTTCTTGTAAACATATATTATTAAATGTGACCGAAAAAGTAAGATTAATAATTCTAACACGAATTCTCAATATTTCTTATGTTTCTATTCACTGTCGAAGGTAATTGAAAAATCAATTCTCCAAAATTCATAAAAATGAATTTTGGAGAATTGACTTTTCAATATTACCTTATTATTATTATTAATAATATAATGATAATGATATTATTATCTTGTGTGTGTTTTTGTGAGTGTGTGTGTTTTTGTGTGTGTTTTTGTGTGTGTGTGTGTGTTTGTGTGGTTTTTTTTTGTGTGTGTGTGTGTGTATATATATACATACATACACACACTAATGAAATATTCATAAATCTTGAGCTCTAGGGATGAAACGTCTAGGGCCATAGGTGCATAAAGGTCTAAAATAAAATTGCCTTCCTATATCTTTTAACATTGATTGTGGGGCCACCACTAACATGGTGTATGCTTGCATTTCAGATATTAGCATGTTTTTATGTTTATTAGTAGGCATATAAATGAATGAGCGAGCGTGAAGCAGAAGTATGTACACCAGGTGAAGAAGCAAGAATGGCAAGATCTGGTGCAGGTGACACCTGAAACTCGGGAATCACACCTAGGGTCCATGGGGACCCAGGTTGTGTCATCTAGCTTGGGTCAGGGTCAACATCATAAGGATTGAGTCTAATATGGCATGAATGAAGGGGTAACTCAAGACAATGAATTATGAATATAAGGGAGGCTGAGAGCCTGAGGGGAGATCAGTCAAGCCTACAGGAATTTGGAGCACGGAACAGCCTGCCTTGGACCAGGTATGTCCTTGCCAAGATCGTCTTTGCCAATGGGATGAAGCTTTCAACTACAGTGAAAGAAATGAGTTATCAGCTGTTGCCCTCATCCCACCATGTTATGTAGGGTGGAGGACTCAGCTGTGCCAACAAAATCTCATTTGGAGTGAGTGAAGTGACTTGTGTGAATTAACTTTCAGTCTATAGTTGATTAATACTTAAGTAAATATCAAAGAAGGCACCAAGCCGGGAAGGCTATGTAGCACCATCAAATGTGCGGAATAATCAGAGGGCGTTAAATATCACCAAGGATGCCAATAAGAGAAGAGAAAGGCATAAGGTGAACGATATCAAAAGTACCGAATTCACTAAGAATTCGCTCATGCTCGTCCTGGAAGTCAGGTCATTCAACAAGGATATGCACAACTGTAAGAGGGACAATGCAATTGGGAACAATAAGGAGCAGGGCGGCGCTTCATTAAGTGTCCGTGAGTTAAGTGTGTATAGCCAATACGCAACCTTGCCAGAGCCGTTTCCCATCGCCGCTTACGGTGGTAGGAGGAAGGCCACAGGGACACTACCCTTAAGAGTATGCAGATTGTTACCAGTAACAGAAGACCAACAACCGTGCCAACAGTCAAGGAAGGAGGAATGAATAATTGGGTAAAAGTCGGAATAAGGAATACCTTTACGAGAGATGAGACAAATGTCGATAGCTCCCTTAGCGGCAGCATCCGCACACATTTAAAGAGATACCAATATGGCTGGGAACCCAACAAAACTCAACAATCTTAAATCGACTGGTAACAAGTAATAGCCAAGGTTGAATCTCGACGACCACCGGATGGAACGGATTAAAGGACTCCAGAGCCATGAGGGCACTACGAGTCAACTACAACCACAAAGGAGGATTGACAGCGAGAAAGCAGGAGACGAAGAGCATAGAGAATAGCAAAGTTCTGCCATGAAGATGCTAGTCTCCAAAGGCAGGCGACACATATAGGTGTGGTCAGGAAAAACAACAGTAGCCTACGCCGTCTGTAGGCTTAAATCCATCAGTGAAGATGGAAACTGAGCAGGAATGTGAAGAAAAAGTTCAAGGAAAAGTAGTTTCAGAACTGTAGGAGGGGTAAAAGCTTCAGTGATGTGGTTAGGGATTTGCAATATTGAGGAAGGGGGATCCTCCACGGGGGCAAGGACGGAACACGAGGAAAAATATTAGTAATACTAACCGAAGGAGAATGTTGCAGGCGAGACAACCGGACAAAGAGAGGTGGGGGAAGAGGAACAGGAACTACAGGAGGGGAAAAAGTCAAAGCACGACACAGGCGAGAGTGAGGGTGTTGTAAAGACCGCGTAAGATAGCAAAGACAGTAGCGATCTCGGCAGTCCTGGAGACAGGAAGCCAGGGTCAACGTACAAGTTGAGGTGCGCCTATCTGCTCCCCAAGAAGTATGTGACAGAACCTTAAGTAGGTTAACGCCCTTAGAGCATTCAACACGGAGGTAAAAGTTATGGGACAACCAAGACAAATGAGTGTCAAAAATTAACCCCAAAAGCTTTGCGGAATTGTTGTACACAAGGGGATGACCATAAAGCAACAAAGAAGGAAGAAGGACGACACGCTTTCGAGTAAAGTCATGGCACAAGTCTTGGTTGCAGAGAACTTTAAGCCATGATTGGTGGACCAAGACAACACGGCATCAATCGCAAGTTGAAGCCACTGTTGAAGGAGAGGCGAATCACCACCTAGACAGCAAAGAGTAAGATCGTCGACATAAAGAGCGGAGAAGATGCCAAAAGGCAGGGAGGAAAGAAGACCATTGAAGGCAACCAGAAAAAGAGTAGTGCTCAGAACACTACCTTGGGTTACATCTTCATATTGCCGAAAAGAAGCAGAGTTGCACCAAGCCTGACTTGAAAGGAACGACGAAAGAGTAAGCTTTGGAGGAAAGAGAGGGAGATTACCATTTGTCTAAACAAAGATAAATTGTACTGTGCTTAACACCTGGTTATATCCTCTTATGGTAAGGTGGTTAGGTAACATTGATGAATGACATTACATGGGGGATATTAATAAGGTATTAAATGTATCAACATAGTGACATGTTGGCAGCTAATGTTCTTCTGGCTGCTTCCGACCCTGTTGAAGGGTCATTTGGACCAGCTTTTGCATTGGCCAGGGATTTTGAAGTGGGTAGTGTGTAATTGTGTATTAGCTGGTTATTGATTGCTGGTCTAGATTTCTTGATATAGTGCTTCACTGATGTCTAATCTTCTATTGATAATGACAATAGATCAGATACAATGATATTGTCATTGACAATATACAATGACAATTCATAATGCATTTAAATAATGTATACTTTATATTAGTGGTATTTAAACTAAATTCAGACTTAGTATTAGCACTAACGCGCCTAGAACATGCACTCCACAGGTATGCACGGAATGCTCCTGGCGGTGCGGGCGAGCGTGCGGTGACATGGAAATGTGCATACTAGTTTCAGTTTTCAATAGAATTCCCTACAGGTGTGTATATGCATACAAGGTCCAAAAGCCCGGCGTGACACCCCACAGCAAGTGTAGTCTGCAAAGTTACCCATGAGCGCACAAAATCAGTAAAATGTATATACTAGTTTCATTTTTCTCACCTTAATTCTCGTGCTACATTGTTCGTTTTGGTATCAATGTGTTCGCAACTGAAATCCCAACAGGGGTATATGCATATACGGTCCAAAAGCCTGGCGTGACTTCCCAAAGCAAAGCCTAAAGTCGGCTAACCGTTACCCGTGAACGAGCACCAATTGGCACAGCAACCTAATGTGTATAGTTGTTCAGTTTGTTAACATCAATTTTCGTGTTACGTCTTTCATTTTAGTATCAAATTGTTCGCAATATAAAGGCGCATATTTTAAAACAAGTCCCATAATAATAGAGCAATAATTGTTATTTTAATAAATTTTAAATTTTGGACACTCATCATCACAAAATTATTTATATCCTTCCAGTGTTCTGACATCAATTTTCATGTTACGTCTTTCATTTTGGTATCATTGTTTGCAATCTAAAGGCGCGCATGTTAAAACTAGCCCCATAATAAATGGAATTTTAACAAATATTTTAAATTTTGGACGTTCATTATCACAAAATTATTTAATATTTTGGACCTGGTTGCGGCTCACTAGTTGTTTGTCTCACTAAGAATCTGTCTAAAGACACTTGTTTTGCCTACAATTTAACAACTGTCTGTAGTGAGAATATACTGTCATTAAAAAAGTTAACAAAACAGCTTGCTACTACAGCTTTATCTGGGCAAGTCTTTTCAGCAAAACTTGTGTGTTCTTGCCATACTGCACATAATTTTTTATTTTGCCAGATCTACCATGTGCATACCGTCCTCATGTTTACAAAGTGTCTTCTTATACCGTCATCCTCAACAATTTTCTTAAGCTAAACTTTACCACTAAATTTTGTGGGACTAATAGCATGATTTATAGGGCCGTGACGAGGATTCGAACCTGCGTCCGGGAGCATCCCAGACACTGCCTTAATCGACTGAGCTACGACAGGGTTAAAAGGGTTGAAACTGAAGTTCTACTGAACTTACTGGATCCCGTAGCCTCTCCGAGGCACAAACCAGGATTTTACACAACGCCCCCGACCCCCTGCACCCGAGCTATGTCAATAGGCCGTTCTCCCTCTTCGCCCTTACATCATTACGCACAGAGATCACAGTAATGTGATGCATCAAATGAACAAACCCACAGGGGCCGTGACGAGGATTCGAACCTGCGCCCGGGAGCACCCCAGACACTGCCTTAATCGACTGAGCTATGACCACACTAACGATTACGTTAGTGTGATCTCTGTGTAATGATGTAAGGGCAAAGAGGGAGAACGGCCTATTGACATAGCTCGGGTGCAGGGGGGGGGGGTTGTGTAAAATCCTGATTTGTGCCTCGGAGAGGCTACGGGATCCAGTAAGTTCAGTCAGTTGAACTTCGGTTTCAATCCTTTTAACCTGTCGTAGCTCAGTCGATTAAGGCAGTGTCTGGGATGCTCCCGGACGCAGGTTCGAATCCTCGTCACGGCCCTTGTGGATTTGTTTAAAGAATGATGTTTTGTTGATAAGGAGAACAGCACCTATTAACTGGAACTGATAAATAATGCAGTACTAAAGAGATGTCTTGCTCCGAAGCTCAAAGAATAATAATAGTAAGAAGTGTCCACAAAGAGGATATGCAGCTGGTGCCTTTATAGCATTGCTGACTAATACGTAACAAATAATATGTTATTATGCTCTATTTTGTTTTATATCGCATAAGTACATTGTGCAATGTTAATATCTTGCTTTCATCAATGTTCAAAAAAATATTTTTAGGTGGATTTTTTTTTAGTTTTAGGTTTTTGCCTTCGTTTATTACCTGATTTAGTTGTAATCTTTACATCCTGGGAAAGTGCATACCCATCCCTAACTATGTGAAGACAATGAAATTGGTCAATAAATAAATCGGTTATAACTGGCAGAACTTGGGACTTTGAATTTTTTTTGCTGATTTTTCACAGCTTTCAAACTATTTTCTTTGTCTCTGTTTTGACAATTGGGGACCAGATTAGGGCGTTATCACTTATATATCCCCCAAATCATTACAATTATCCTTATATTTAGTAGGTTACTTTTTCTTGACTTCATTTCAACACACATGAAGTCAAGAAAAACTGCAACTTTCACATTCGAGGATGAATGCCAAACAATGTTTATGAAAACATAAGTAAATTAATGAATTAGAACTCCCTTATTCATTGACGATAATTTTAATTACATCTATACCTTGAGGTGCTATAACTAGAATTTCGGATCAAAAAATCCACTTTCTGACCTATTGTCACAATTTTTACATATAGTGTGCACAGCTGTTTGTTCTACAATCCCTATAAATGGATTTTTCATAAACCCTAAAAGTTTGGAAATAATTTTTTTTTTTCTAAATTTGGCGCATATTTCAAATGCCATATTGACAATTTTATTTTATACAGTAAACTATACTGAAGCCTGTATTCTAATTTTATGAAAATGAAGATCATATGCTTATGATCATATGTTATGCTGAGAACATAACGCCAAATGAACAATTGATATTTTATATTTTTTAATCTGATTTGAAAATCTGAAGTTTTCAATTTATGATCATATGTTATGCTGAGAACATAATGCCAAATGAACAATTGATATTTTATATTTTTTAATCTGATTTGAAAATCTGAAGTTTTCAATATTCAATTTTAAAATTGTTTTGATTTTCTTGTTTTTCAAGTTACATTGTTGATTATTTAGACAAAGTTGGAGCATTTGCTAGTAGATTTTGCACAAAAAATTGGAAAGTGTTTGTGCAAGTATGAGAAATTGCTATGTCCAATCGCACGTGTATGCATTGTGCACCACAGAACATGAAATATCAAATGATAAACCTGAATAGTATATAGAATAGTAAACATTATTAATATACAAACTGACCTGTAACTAGAACGCGATATTGTGATCTTCTTGCAGGAGGCCCTCGGCCTCTCCCTCTACCAGAAGCTCCTCTGGCAGCTCCAGGCAGGCTGTTACGAGGAAACTCCACTCGTAGTCGATAGCCATCATAGTCATATCCATCACGCGAGTGGACAGCATCTTCCGCATCCCTGTTAAAAAAATTGACAATAAGACCAAACTATAGCAATAGCAGTCACAAGCATGACCTAGAATAGTGGATGGGGAACTTTTTATCATGCCAAGACCACATTTTAGGAGATTCCATTAACTGCATTTTTTTAACCCTTGGACAGTGGCCATACTTGCCTATGCACAAAATATAAAAATTTAATAAGAATTATTAATTTGTATGGAAAATGTAAGAAAAAAGTAAATATAGTTGCACTGGGTGGACACTTGGAAGATATCTGTTCATACGCGTATGGTTGAACGAGCGAGTGGTACTGGGGGCACGGCACTCTCGATTTGTTTACAAGCCTATCCCGCGAAGTAACGATCACGGCCGTGCTTGAATTCTTTGTGAAGAATTTCATTGTTTGCCTGCCTTTTTTTTTTTTTTTTTTTTTTGACAAAAGTTCTTAGATAATATCATGCCATGGGTACCTGCTTGATGGGATTCTGGGAGTTGTTCTACTCCCCAAGCCCAGCCTGAGGCCAGGCTTGACTTCTTCCAAAACTCCCAGAAGTGTCAGTGGTAAAGCTCAACCAAAGAAAGCAATTTTAAGGATGACCATAGAGGAAAAACTAAAGATCATTCGTAAATATGAAAATGGTATGAGGGTTGTTGAACTGGCTAAGCTAGTATAACAAATCCATGTCAACGATATCCACCGTACTAAGAAAAAGGACATTATGAGTGCTAAAGTGGCAAAAGGCATAACAACAACTACGAAACAAAGGACACACACACTTGAGGATGCAAAAAGTTATTATTAATTTGAATAAACAACAAGCACTTAGCAGGTGGTAGCATTTCAGAAGCTGTCATTTGTGAAAAAGCAAGGATGGTGCATGAAGATCTGATACAGAAAACCACTGGAACAAGTGATGCAGATAGAAAAGTTTAAGGCAAGCAAGGGATGGTTTGAGAACTTTAAAAAAAGTGGCATTCATAATGTTGTGAATCATGGTGAGGGTGCCAGCTCAGACAAACCTGCAGCTGAAAGATTTGTTAGCAAATTTAAACATTTTGTAGAGTGAGGGATACCTACCACAACAAGTACAACAAGTGTGTGATGAAGGAGGGCTATCCTGGAAAAAATTGCCGAAGAGGACATACATTACGCAGAAGTTATTGCCCGGATACAAGCCTATGAAAGATAGCCTAACTTGTGCTGTGGTAATGCAAGTGGCTTATATGGGGCTGTACCCAACTCGTTAAATGTGGGGCTCCAGTATTTTTCGAAGTTGAAGTGTCGGTAATATTTCAAACAATATTCAAGATATATTTTATATAACTAAAATTAAATAAAATTCATTATGCAATTGCATGCCAAGTTAGTGCTGTGCCAACAATTAAGCCGGCTGTTGACTGCTGCATGGATGATGCATGAACACGGTCTGACAAAGTTCAGATGGGTGGAAAAAAATTGGTCCATTCCTTTGTATTGCAAAATATTCAAAATATGTGTACTGTATCAATGATTATTAATGTTTTAAATAAAATTTTAGAGATGTGTTTTCTTATACCCTGTACAGTACAGGTAATGTATTTTTAATGTTATGTTCATTGATTGGTTTTAATAGAACTCATGAGCACCACGCCAGAAACAAATACCTTTTTGATATTCCAAGAGTACTACTTAATCAAACTAGAAATGCTCTACAAATCAAGGGACCCAGAATGTGGAATGACCTTCCCAATCATGTACAGTGTACCTCTCTCAACCAGTTTAAGATAAAAACTAAGCATTACCTAATTAACTCCCTGTAACCTACCTTACCCCTATAATGTCAACCTGTCTGCTATTTTGTTAAACAATGCTGTTTGTCGACCAAATTGTATTTTTTGCTGTTTTTCTGCCATGTTCCCCCCTTATTTTATTTTTTATTTTCTCACACATTTTATACTTTAATCTCAATTAGTGTAAAGTTTTAGTCTTTGGTGTTTTTCCTGCCCAAAATGCTTTGTGTAACAGTGGCTTTAGGCATTGTATGTACTAGCTCTATCTATAAATTCATCAATATTTGTATCACACCTTTTATGTATGTACTTTACCTGAATAAACATTTAAATTTTTTGAATTTTTGAATTTGTTACGACACAGGCTGTGGCAGCCAGCATACAATGGCAATCGAGTCTTGTCACTAACTCCAGAGTTAGCCAAGACAAAATTTCACCTTTTCACCTTTTCTCTGGCACTCTGCCTGACTAATGATTTATTAAATATGATAGATAATGGCTCTCAAACCTCCTCTTTGCATTCTTTAAGCACCCTGGCAAACACATCTGGCCCTGGATTTGTTTGGCTTGAGTTTCACTATACAGTATGTTTAATATCCTCCTTGGTAACTCCTAAACTAGTCAACCTGTCCTCTTCCCTAACCACAGACTTGTTCGGCTGAAGGCAAGCTCTCATCTTGGAGGAGACAGGCTTGAACATATTTTATCAGTTGGTAAACATTGCTCGCAGGTGCACTGGGCTCCATAGAGGCGCCTTGTTTCCCTTCTAATAGCTGGAGGGAGCTGACTCAATCTTCAGGAATTCATGTAGCCTTCCACGGCAGATCAGTGAAGGTGATTGGCGGGAGATAAGGGCCAAGTTCTTATTGGCCCTAGAGAGCCAGACCTCAGGCCTAAGTGTTAAATGGTTGGCCTTTGCCAAAATAATGGGTGGAGCCCTGGGGCTGTATTAGATGGTGGGAGGAGTAATCCTTCCCAGCAATAAGCTGGTAAAACAAAATTTTATCAGTGTGTCTCGGGAGTGTGTGGAATAAAGGGGGCCGCAAGCCCGCATCCTAGGGGCTGAGGGCAGCCATCAACATCGTGGCCTCAGTGCAATTTTAAGGTATGGTGCACTTGACTCATGTCCTCAGTAGATATCCATTGTGCCTCTAGGGGAATAGAATAGGGTATATTTTCAAACTGTCTTAATTTACATGTTTCATAAAATAAATTGTATAACTTGTCCAGTGGTATTCACTTAACTCCCCTTTGATATATTTTTCTACTTGTCATTTTTATGTGTTGAATTGGAAACCCCCATGTTCTCCTAAGGTTAATAGATACTAAAGTTGCCCTTGGATTTAAATAAGTAACGTAAATTAAACAAACTAATTTCCCAAAATTTATTACTGAAATTCGTATTACCCTTGGAGTCCCATGATTACTGATTCCTTGCCTTCCTAGGGGATCGGTGATAGACACATTCAGGTATGGTTAGTCGGGAAGGTGGTGGCAGTGTTTAATGAGTTCTATTATTTGTTTTATAAATTAATAACCCTTGTCCTTGAGGTATCTTCCTCATTTAATATTCCTCTGATATACGTGGCAGTCCAGTGAGGGGTCATACTGGTGTAGTGTTAAGTAACATACTCATAATATATTAATATATTATATAATAATTAATTAATTAACAATAATATATTAAGTAACATACTGGTAACAGTGTTAAGCTGGGGTATTGAGTGGAGAGAGAGAGAATTACAACAGGGATAGCGAACGATTACGATCACGAGACGTTCATCATTTCAGAGGGTTATTACCTGGATTTGGGTTATTACACCAAGAAAGCCAGTGGTAGGGTTCAACCTAAGAAAAATAGTTGTGAGTAGAGGCAGTAGAGGATGTCCCTTCCTCATTAAGAAAATGTGTGAAGTATGGGAAAAACTGCAAAGTTTTGTTGAAAAAACTCACTTGGATAAAGCTGTAGCAGGCTGCTGCTGCTGCTGCATTGACCTTTTAAATGACAATGTGATGTCTTACTACAAACAAGTATTAAATGTAGGGAAAAACGTGTGTCTTTACATATTCTTAGTAAGACAAGCAAGCAGAGAGCCACAAGCAGGTCCTAGTGGTATGCAGGCAAAACGTGCCAGAGTGTGCACATCAGTGAAGTCCTCACTGCCTGATGTTATAATGGAAGGAGACTCCCCTTCCAAACAGTAACACCTCTCCTCCCCCCTCCTCACCATCTTCCATACGCCAACAGCAGTCATCAGCAAGGGTAAGTAATAACTTGAACATGCTTTTGTAGTGTAGATTTAGATGAATTAGGTATAAAATTTAGTTTGAAGTGAGGTTTGTGGGCAGTCAGGAACGAATTAATTAATTTCCCATTATTTCTTACGAGGAAATTACTTTCGGTTTACGAGCTGTCTCCAGGAATAGATTAAACTAGAGGTACCCATGTATTATATTTTTAGCTTTTTTGTTTAATTCCAGCCAAATAGTTTGTGTGGCTTAGTTTTGATTCCCTCTGAGACTGCATTTCAAATTTTCCCTAACATATACCCCTGTATGGCTACTCCCCCTCATCGTCTAATATATCTGTGAAATAGTTTAAATCCGTTTATATGATATTCAGCTAATAATTCTCTTATTTTCTACATTCATCCACATTTTGGTAAGTGCAATAATATGTTTGTTTCTGTGCAGACAAGAGCATTCAAATCTTTTATTTTGTTTCTTAGACTCCTACTGTTCATGTAATATACCTGAAGTGTATTGCTCTTTTGAGGCCCGTCTCCTTCCCTGTTCATTAAGCCAATTTGTTTCTCCCACAAATACACCTTTAGTGCCTTCTTTCTCTATATCAATTCTCACCCCACTATCTACATTGGAGATGGTCGAACCCTTGTTAGAATCCGACCCGATTGTCAATTGGATTAACCCATGTGTTGCATTCCACAATGGTCAAATTCAAATTTTAACTTGGTCGCCCAAGTTAAAAATTGTTAAATGCCACGAATATTGTTGAAAACATCTTTATAACTTATTAAACCAAAAATGAAGTGTTTCAACGTTAGATTAGGTTAGGTCAGCGTTTTACCACTGTGCCATGGCGACTTGCACATCTACACAGAAATTTTGAATGTTATAATCAAGTTAGTTTTTACCCAAGTACAATTTTACAAGTTGGTAAAATCGCCCAAGTTAAAAATTAACTTGGGCGACCATTGTTGAAACGCAACACATGGGTTGACCAAATTGCTACTTGGGTCAGATTTCATTATGGTTCGGAACAGAGATACACCCCTTCCATCCACAGGTTCGAACAAGTTGGCAACAGCAACAACCCCAGCCCTGGACAGATGCACTACATCTCGAGCATACATGTCATTTCTTCCATACAAGTGTTTCCAGTTATCTATGAACAATATTGCATATGATTTGCAGTATTTGTCCAGACGGCAAGCGACACCAAGTGCCCTTGATAACCATTTGTTTCCAACTCCCTTTCTTGGAAGAATGCCACATATGATCGGGATTCCTCCCGTGTTCCTAACCAAGGGATTAATAAATTAAAATTATTATTAATAGGTCTGTGCCAGTTATGTATACTCTAGACTAAATATATAAAGGCTCTCCCAAACTATTATAATGTTAAACAAAATATAAGTATCAAAATAATTTAATTCCCAGGTAGAAAAATTCATGAGTAAAACAATTATTAATACTTAGGCTAACACAAAGGCAATTCTGGATTATATTGCTGTTAATTTGGTCGATTGTTCATAATGTCTAAAAAGCCGAACAAAATAGCAAGACAAATTTACCGCCAAAACTGCCAAGGTACTGATGTGGCCACGAGACGCGCCACACCACCCCAGCCACACTGGCCACACCTGCTCCACCACACCCACACCCACCAGCCCCCCACACTCACGCTGGAGACGCCCACACCACCTTCAAGACGCCGCCACCCTCACCACCCTCTCACCTTGCGTCCTCAAACTCCACGAAGGCGAATGGTGGCCCTCGACGGTTCTTCAGATCTATAAAGACAATTTTCCCAAACTTGTAGAACAAATCCTCGATATCCTTCGTCCTGATGTCCGGGGGTAAGTTCCCGACGTAGATACGGCATTCGTTGTTTCCTCTGCCGTAGGACATGGCCGATAATGGCGGTTGGGGGAGGCGGCGTGAAGGTAGAGCGTCCAGTATGGCGTCGTTCACGCGGTGTTTGTGAGTGGCGGCGCGCGCCCTCCCGCCCGCCTCCTACACCCTCCTCCGCCTCGCCAAGTAGTTCCCCGCCTCGCCCACACCCGCTACCCCACACCTGCTGCTCCCACACCTCCTCCCACATGCACGTACACTCCCACGCCTACTCCTACATGCACTCCCACTACCTGCTCCCACACCCACGTGCACTCCCACATGCACTCCCACACCTGCTCCCACATCCACGTGCACTCCCACACCTGCTTCTACATGCACTCCTACACCGGAGCCATATCAAACAATTGAACTATATAAAAAAAAGAAACCCGAATTTCTAGGAAACATATAAACAGAGCCCTAGCAAACAAACCTGAAGCACTAGTACACAAACAACCACTGAAGCACAACCATGTACGAACCGGAGCACAACCATGTGCAACCCAAAGCCCAACAAGTCACACCCCTGGAGTTATGTAATCGGAACCCGACAAGTTATGAAACCGGAGCCCGACCAGTTGTCTAACCACAAGCCTAGCATGAACGAACCAAACAAACAACCTCTGGATCACAACCATGCACGAACGGAAGCCCGACCATGCACAACCCATAGCCCAAGTGACACCCCCGGAGCCAGACCAGTTATTTAACCGGAGCCCGACCAGTTATTTAACCGGAGCCCGACCAGTTATTTAACCGGAGCCCGACCAGTTGTGTAACCGAAGCTTGACCAGTTGTGTAACCAGACCCCGACCAGTTGTGTAACCGTAAGCCTAGCAAGTATACATCTCATCCAACCCCCATAAAGCTAAACAGTCCCAGAGCACAACTGTAACGGTTCTATTGTTACGTAAAGTATGGTGACAATAAACACAGACACTAAGATACTATATATATATTTGGTCTAATATACAGAAGTACACAGGTGATACTTTGGTGTGAGTTGAGCGCACTGAGCGTCGGTACAGTATCTCGCAAGTGTCTGCTCTAGACCACACTTGAAAGTAGACTAGTTAATGTTTGCTATTCTGCTGCTTATATGCTCAGGCAACACCTCACCGTGTTGCCCGGGCAACGCCTCACCTCATTCATCTCCAAAGGTTGACAGGAATATTAACAATGCATTTGGAGCGAGTATATTATTGGGATAATCTACTCGCTACACAACCAAACTCCATTCCTAGCTCGACCAAACAAAAATCTGCTTAGAGCTACCTAAAACCCTCCACTTGCCCAAGAAACCAACTATGGAGCCATATCAAACAATTGAACTATATACAAAAAAAGAAACTCAAATTTCTAGGAAACATATAAACAGAGCCCTTGCAAACAAACCTGGAGCACTAGTACACAAACAACCACTGGTGCACAACCATATACGAACCGGAACACAACCATGTACGAACCGGAGCACAACTATGTGCAACCCAAAGCCCAACAAGTCACACCCCTGGAGTTATGTAATCGGAACCTGACAAGTTATGAAACCGGAGCCCGACCAGTTGTCTAACCACAAGCCTAGCATGAACGAACCAAACAAACAACCTCTGGATCACAACCATGCACGAACGGAAGCCCAACCATGCACAACCTATAGCCCAAGTGACACCCCCGGAGCCCGACCAGTTATTTAACCGGAGCCCGACCAGTTGTGTAACCGAAGCTTGACCAGTTGTGTAACCAGACCCCGACCAGTTGTGTAACCGTATGCCTAGCAAGTATACATCTCATCCAACCCCCATAAAGCTAAACAGTCCCAGAGCACAACCAAACTCCATTCCTAGCTCGACCAAACAAAAATCTGCTTAGAGCTACCTAAAACCCTCCACTTGTCCTAGAAACCAACTATGGAGCCATATCAAACAATTGAACTATACACAAAAAAAGAAACCCAAATTTCTAGCAAACAAACATAAAGCCCTTGCAAAGAAACAAAGCCCTAGCAAACAAACCTGGAGCACTAGTACACAAACAACCACTGGAGCACAACCATGTACGAACAGGAGCACAACCATGTGCGAACCGGAGCACAACCATGCACAACTCAAAGCCCAACAAGTCACACCCCCGGAGTAATGCAATCGGAACCCGACAAGTTGTGTAACCGGAGCCCGACCAGTTGTCTAACCGCAAGCCTAACATGAACGAACCAAACAAACAACCTCTGAAGCACAACCATGCACGAACGGAAGCCCGACCATGCAAACATAGCAGCAGAATAGCAAACATTAACCAGAGTCTACTTTCAAGTGTGGTCTAGAGCAGACACTTGCGAGATACTGTACCGACGCGCAGTGCGCTCAACTCACACCAAAGTATCACCTGTGTACTTCTGTATATTTCACCAAATATATATATAGTATCTTAGTGTCTGTGTTTATTTGTCACCATACTTTACGTAACAATAGAACTGTTACACTCTGCTGTTCAACAAATCCCTTGAGTGTCATACCTTCCCTGATATCCTTAAAAAAGCAAGAGTAACGCCAGTTCATAAAGGAGGTAATCCGGCAGACATAAACAATCATAGACCAATATCAAACCTACCCATACTATCAAAGATATTTGAAAAAATTATCTACAAACAGCTCTACTCCTATCTCGTAAAATTCGACATTCTTAGCCCCTGTCAGTTTGGCTTCCGCTCCCAAAAGAGTACCAACGATGCAATTATTAGTCTCCTTGATATAATTTACTCAGCCCTTGACAAAAATGAGTTTCCGATTGGACTTTTCATTGACCTGAGAAAGGCCTTTGATACTGTTAATCGCAATTACCTCTTACGTAAACTCCATCATTATGGAATCCGAGGCCATGCACTGGACTATATCTAATCCTATCTTAGTGATAGACACCAATGTTTAACCATCAATAATATAACCTCTTCCACTCTACCAATAACCGTTGGAGTGCCACAGGGCAGCATCTTGGGACCTCTCCTATTTCTTATATACATCAATGCCTATATATATGTCTCTAACATTCTGAAACCTATTTTGTTTGCTGATGATACTACCCTCATCTACTCCAACCCCAACCCACATACACTAAGTGATGTTGTTAATAATGAACTCAAAAACGTCCGCTTATGGATGTCAACCAACAAACTAACACTTAACATAAAAAAGACCTACTACATCTTATTTGGAAGCAAATCTATAAATGCAATTCAGCTCCAGATAGTCAATGCAAACATTAGCAATAAAAATGATGGAAAGTTTCTCGGCCTATTCCTAGACTTGAGATTCAACTTCAGCACCCACATACAACACATAACTAAGAAAGTCTCTAAAACAGTTGGTATACTCTCCAAAATCAGATATTATGTACCTAACTCTGCTCTCATCTCTCTATATTATGCACTAATCTATCCCTATCTTAATTATGGTATCTGTGCATGGGGTTCAACCACTGAAAACCACCTCAAGTCCATCATCACCCAGCAAAAATCTGCTGTCAGAATAATAACAAATTCTGCTTTCAGACAACACTCAGCCCCCTTGTTTAACTCCCTAAACATGCTAAACATAATCTCACTCCACAAATTCTCTTGTGTCAACTACATTTACAAAACCCTGTTCTTAAATACAAATCCTGCTCTGAAACTCTCCCTGGACAGATGTAATAGGACCCATTATCTCCACACCAGAAATAAATATCTCTTTGATATCCCCAGAGTCAAACTTAATCTGTGTAAACACTCTATGCAAATAAAGGGACCCAGTCTATGGAACTCACTCGCTATTGAATTGAAAAGCTGTCCAACTTTTGCGTCATTCAAAAACAATACTAAAAGTACCTAATTTCATCTTCATAGTTTTTTACCTTTTGCTTTAAAATTGCACTGTATCTATTGCTACCCAATCTCCCAATCTTTATGTACCCAATCCGAACATCTTTACCATTGTGATCATTGCTGTCTTCTTATATGTGCTGTCAATCTGCTGTAAGGTGTCTATTAATCTTATAAATAATAATAAGTAAAATAAATAAGTAAATAAATGTTTATTCAGGTAAGGTACATACATACAAGAGATTTTACAAAAATTGATAGATTTATAAATAGACCTAGTACATACAATGCCTAAAGCTACTATTATGCAAAGCTTTACGGGTAGGAAAAACATTAAAGACTAAAACTTAATACTAATTGAGTTTAAAGTATAAAATGTGCTGAGAACAAATAAAAATAAAAAGGGGGGAACATGGCTGAAAAAGCAGCACAAATACAATTAGGTCGACAAACAGCGTTGTTTAAAATAACAGACATGGGTTGACAATATAGGGGTAAGGTAGGTTACAGGGAATTTATTAGGTAGTACTTCGTTTTTATCTTAAACTGGTTGAGAGAGGTACAGTCTTTAACATGATTGGGAAGGTCATTCCACGTTCTGGGTTCCTTGATTTGTAGAGCAGTTCTAGTTTGATTAAGTCGTACTCTAAGAACATCAAAACTGTATTTGTTTCTGGTGTGGTGCTCATGGATTCTGTTACAACCTTCACTGAAGCCTTGGAGGTCAGGATTGGCATTACAGTTCAGCGTTTTATATATGTATAACACACATGAGAGAATGTGCAGTGACTTAATATCTAACATATTCAGAGATTTGAGTAGGGGTACCGAGTGATGTCTGGGGCCAGAGTTGGATATTGTCCTAATAGCAGCTTTGTGTTGAGTAATTAGAGGACGCAAATGATTTTGGGTAGTAGAACCCCAAGCACAAATACCATAGTTGAGATATGGATAGATGAGGGAGTAATAGAGCGTCACCAGGGCAGGGTGGGGTACATAATATCTGATCTTAGAAAGAATGCCAACAGTTTTTGAAACTTTTTTTGATATATTTAGAATGTGTCCCTGGAAATTCAGCTTGTGGTCAATGAGAACGCCAAGGAATTTGCCATCTATTTTGTTACAAATTTGGGTATTGTTTATTCTGAGATTTATTTGATTAGAGGATTTATTGCCAAACAGAATATAAAAAGTTTTGTTAATGTTAAGGGTGAGTTTGTTGGCAGTTAGCCAAAGATGGACTTTATTTAGCTCAGTATTTACTGTGGCATTTAGAACAAGGGGGTCTGGACTGGAGTAAATGAAGGTTGTGTCGTCAGCAAATAGAATTGGTTTGAGGTGTTGGGAGGCATTTGGAAGGTCATTAATGTAGATGAGAAAGAGGAGAGGGCCAAGTATGCTGCCCTGAGGAACACCAATGTTGATGGGTAGGGTGGGAGAAATTGAATTATTCACAGAAACATATTGGAGCCTGTCATTAAGGTAAGATTTGAGGTAAGGTTGTGTCTGTCTTGTTTAAGTAACCAATCAAGCTGTCAATGTAATCAATCAGAGCTTTAATATACCAATGTGCTTTAATATACTTACTAATCTCTCTCATCTCATTTTTTTGCAATGTATTTGTTATCATTTCATTAATTCTGCTAGAATTTACCTACTTAAAATTATGTTAGATAAAGGACCTGCCCGAAACGCTGCGCGTACTAGTGGCTTTACAAGATTGTAAATACTATGCTATGTATTCTCACAAACCCAATGTACCTTCTTGTATATAAATAAATAAATAAATAAATGTCAACTTGTGGTTTTGATGTGGTACGTTTGGCCAAGTCATCCGCCACCTCGTTGAGCACTATTCCAACATGGGATGGAATCTACATGAATTTCACTTTGAGACCTTTCAGCTGTATCTCATTTATCCTTTTTTTACAATCCTCAACTATGGACATGAAGACTGGATTTCGACTGTTTAAGGAATCAAGTGTTCCTCGGCTATCGACAAATACAAACACATCTTTGTCGTCTTGACGTACTTCCTCCAAACACGCCAGAATGGCCTGCAGTTCAGCTTGTGTGGATGATATATTATTACTAAGTAGAAGTTCAATTTTCCTGTCCACAGTTCCAAACTCAGTATATTCTCTTATTAGGACACCACACCCTGCCCTGCCCTCTTCCGTCACCGACCTGTCACAATATGCATGTAAACTGTTGCCTCTTGGTAACCGAGATATCATGCTTCCATACAAACACCGTAATTGTCCCCGGTTCATGATTAATCTTTTTCACCTTGAGGGGTACAGTTTCGACGTCTATTTTCCGTACTTTCCAGAGAGCAGACCTATTACACTGTTGAGAGGGTTTACAGCAGTCAAGTACATCGTATTCTCCGAGGGTATGAGCTAATCCCCCTCGTGTAGCGTGTCTCTCAGTGTGTACGCCACTCAAGCAGGTCTGAATGCTGTGAAACAGCTTATCCCCTCCTTTTCTCCGCATGAAACGATTAGATACTCGTGTTAATGTCACGGACTCTGTGACACTGTAATTTTAATTCCATTCTCATTATTTCAATCATTGCATTTCTTTGACATCCAAGAATAATCCTCATAGCCTCGTTCTGTATCAGCTCTATTTTTTAAATTCTGCCTTGGCCTGTGTAAGACAAAACGGGTGCTGCGTAGTCTATATGGGGACCGAACAGTGCTTATGTATAACATCCGCAAAATAGGTACCCCCTACATCTTTACCAGAAAAAGCCAGTGCCTTTATAGGATACCTGGTTGGTACCTGATTGATGGGGTTCTAGGAGTTCTTCTACTCCCCAAGCCCGGCCCGAGGCCAGACTTGACTTGTGAGAGTTTGGTCCACCAGGCTGTTGCTTGGAGCGGCCCGCAGGCTCACATATCCACCACAGCCCGGTTGGTCCGGCACTCCTTGAAGGAAACAATCTAGTTTCCTCTTGATGTCCACGGTTGTTCCTGTAATATTTCTGATGCTCGCTGATAGGACGTTGAACAACCGCGGACCTCTGATGTTCATACAGTGTTTTCTGATTGTGCCCATGGCACCTCTGCTCTTCACTGGTTCTATTCTACATTTTCTTCCATGTCGTTCACTCCAGTACGTTGTTATTTTACTGTGCAGGTTTGGGACCTGTCCCTCCAGTATTTTCCATGTGTATATTATTTGGTATCTCTCTCGTCTCCTTTCTAATGAGTACATTTGGAGAGCTTTGAGTCGATCCCAATAATTTAGGTGCTTCATCTCGTCTATGCGTGCCGCATATGTTCTCTGTATTCCCTCAATTTCAGCAATCTCTCCTGCTCTGAAGGGGGAAGCGAGTACTGAGCAGTACTCAAGACGGGACAACACAAGTGATTTAAAGAGTACAACTATTGTGATGGGATCTCTGGACTTGAAGGTTCTCGTAATCCATTCTATCATTTTTTCTGGCTGACGCAATACTTGCTTGGTTATGCTCCCTAAACGTTAGGTCGTCAGACATTATTATTCCCAAATCCTTTACATGCTGTTTTCCTACTATGGGTACATTTGATTGTGTAAAATTATGTAAAAAAAATAGTAACAGCCAATTGATTGACAGTTGAGAGGCGGGCCGAAAGAGCAGAGCTTAACCCCCGCAAGCTCAACTAGGTGAAAGCACAAATTATCTGAAACTGCATTAATACAAAAAAATTTTGTTTTCTTTTATTGTAGAAAGACTGGAGTACAATATTGGTATAAAGTTTTGCACTGGAATGAGCTCATACATTAATATAAGCCAATAAATGGAAATCATGATTAAAAACAATTATCAAACAGGAGACAAGTAGTCTCGTATAAATTACTGGAATGAAGATAATCTAAAAGTCCTATGTAATTAAAACAAGCACAATTCTACCGAGACCCTAATACCATACTATATTGCAAAATTTCATACAAATAATTTTTTATGTTAAGGCACTATTAAGTACTAGCAAATCACTATTAGGTATCTAAAGTTTGTAATAAATAACAAGCTATGAATCAAACAATATATAACCTGAGGCAGGTTCCATTACTCATTCCTCATGTTATGAAAAGGTGAAGAGTTTCTTACAAAGACATACCTCAGGACTTTTTCCTTACCTTCTCCAGTTTACACACCTTACTATATTGATAATCCAAATATTTCAAATACAATATTCTATATTAGTAATATATTTTTCCTGACAATTCTTTACATATATTTAAATTAAACATTAATTTTATTCATATTTTCAGTGTATTGTACTTCAAAGAGAGCGAGAGGGAGCATGAAACTGAGTGCGTGTGTGTGTGTGTGTGTGTGTGTGTAAATTATCCAATACCAACCTTAAGTTGAACAGCAATAAAGCTTTTGATTATTTTTTAAAGTGTTTACATACAAGATCAAAAGTTTTTTTTTGAAAACTATTACCCTGTTCTTGTCCAGGCCTTACATTTTATATGGGTTTTCTATGGGGCATGTAATCTGTCTTAAACCAGATACTGTCCATTCTGTTTCTAAGTGAGATAATTCCCTAAATACTGATATTGTTTTCCAGTGATAGAAACACTGCTATGTAAATGTCTTACAAGCCCACTAAATTATCTTCAAATATATAAAAATTTAACTTACAAACGGTACATGTAGAAGCTTGGCAATATACAAAATTCCTGACAAGGTCAAAAAATGTGTTATTAAAAAAATTCTAATATATGCTCCAATCAACTGCTAGACTGATGAGCGCCATGCAGCTAATTCACTTATTACTGGTCTTCTAGATCTTTGGCTCCATGCTTCAAGATGCGTGTGAACTCCACATAATCAAACATTGAATTCTTGATTGGAGCTTCACGGTACATTTCATCAACCTGCCAGGAGAAAAAAAACAAGTCTTGTATATATATTTTTTTTATATATGGAACACTTTCTTGTGATTCATGCACAACCTCACTAAGATCCTTCCATATGGAAGCCCACTTTATGTGACCACCAGGCTCACCAGTTAAAGAAAAATTAAAATACCATCTTTTGATACCTTCCTAGTATAATTATCACAAAATTCTACTGTGTCTGTGGGTCATTTGGGTACAGTACTTAGTTTCCACATATGTCCCCCTTGTTCGTGTACTACCCATGGGTAAATAGTATGTTCTATTTCAGAGAGAATATTTTGTATGTGGTTATCTTTATTATGTGGTTATGTCGTCTCCATTTCTTCTCTCGTCCAGTAACGTTTATGTGGACACAGTCAGTGGGTGCGCTGGGACGTGTTCACAAGGTTGGTGGGGAGATGTAGATGTGGGCGCATGGTCAATGAGTGGGCATGGATATGGGCATACAGTGGATAGGCAGCCGTGGGAATAAGCATATAATGGCTGGGTTTGGGAATATATTAACACTAAACATTTAAAATGTACCAAGTATACAATCTTACAAAGATAAAACTGAATAAGGCGAGATACACTACTTACGTCCTCATCTGTGAAGCGATCACCCATGGAAACCAGGAGTTCCCGAAGTTGCTCTTCATTAATGTAACCTTGATTATTTTCATCAAAACATCCAAATGCATTCTTTATTACATCCTCAGGATCTGTGCCCTGCCAAGAAAAGATTAAAAACATGGGAAATAAAAATGAACTAAATTTGATATGATCGCAAGATTACAATCTAGAAAGCTACTCAAAGGCCACCATATTTTAGAATGATACATGTACTGCAGAATTATGGGTTCCAAACAGCAACATAATAATGAGGATAAAACAGGAAACACTCAGCTTTTCAGAAGTGCTTGTCTAATCTAAGTTTAAAGTTTTTTACTCTACTACACTACTATATCTCCTGGTAAGCTGTTCCATACATTAAGCACTGTGATGAACTTGTTCCAATCTGTCAATATCTTAAAAAAGTTGACCAAAAGTGTGCTGTTAAAACCCAGAGTTCTATACATTGCTTGCTAGACTTCATGACATTGCCCCTATCTCTCCAAGGTCTTTATCTTTGTTTACCTTTAATAGTTTGCCTTTTCATCTTTATTGTGCCACACTTTACATTTTTCTGCATTAATCATCTTCCATTTGTCGGACAAATTTACTAGGGTCTTTAGGCCAGCTTGTAATCTGTTACCTCATAGGCATTACAGCTTTGCTACCTAGTTTGGCATCATCATTGTAAATTTTGATATTATGCTACTCAAGTCATCATTGATGTTATTTATGTACATAAATTTTAACATTTCCAATTACAGTACTGTATTATTATTGTCTTCGGTGACGTGACAAAAATTACTATCAAGGTTTCCACAATTTTTACTGCCTTTAACCACCGCACTGTGCAGAGCACCTGGAGGTACATAGGGTTTTTAGTACTGGCTCCAATCACGTTTTCATTAATGACATGATTCCACTTACAATTTTTTATATTTATTTCTGTTAAGTGAAAACAGAATATCCTAGAAGAGCTTATCCTGCCTCGTAGTCTCTGCTACCTGTCTTTTGGTGGATATGTTGGACGCGCACTGGTCACATGTGGTGACCATTAATACCCTCATCTCTATATATAGCGACTGCATACTGCCAGCACTCAACTTGGTAAGAGTTGTCAACAACAGAGTCATCAGAACTGCAGATGTGCGTCTTCCCAGTGTGTCTTCGCTCCTAAATCACTCCTACAGATCAGACTTTATCCAACAGTGGAGCTGTGAACACGCTTGCACACTCACTCACTCTATATAGCTAGTATGTGGCCCGGTATAGAATAATATATACAGTGGCACCTCGACTTACGATTGCCCCTACTTACGATAATTTCGAGTTACGATGTAAATTTAATCGAAAAATGCGACTCGACATCCGATGGCGTCGTCGACTTACGATATTTGTTGGTACACGTTCGGGTCGACCGAGCGCATGGTTCCCGGTCACGTGGCCGACCTGCCTCGGTTTACTACAGCTGCCCGCTTAGTGATGATCGCGCCTATAAGAAATTTCGCTTTTGTGGTGATTTTTTGCATTTTGAACATTACAGTAATTATTATATATCATGCCATGAGTCCCAGGAAAGTCAGTGGTAAGGCTCAACATATGAGATCCCATGTAAGGATGACCATAGAGCAGAAACAAGAGATCATTCGTAAATATGAAGATGGTGTGCGGGTTGTTGAACTGGCTAGGCAGTACAACAAATCTCAGTCAACAATATCCACCATACTGGCTAAGAAAAAGGACATTATGGGTGCTAAAGTGATGCATCATTACAGACAAAATGTTAAAACAAAGGGAAAAACAAATGTCTCTTGACAAATTTGTAGTGAGACAAACAAGCACTGAACCACAACCAGGTCCTAGTGGTATTCAGGCAAAACGTAGGAGAGAGAGTACCCCAGAGAAAACATCACTGCCTGATGTGATAATGGAAGGGGACTCCCCTTCTAAACAGTAACAACTCTCCTCCTCCCCCCTCATCTTCCATATGCCATCAAGAGCCCTCCATAAAGGTAGGATAAAACTTAGGTACTGTATTGTAGTTAGAAAAAAATATTGTATTCAGTATAAAATGTATTTGTATGTTAATATTTTGGAGGGTGGGGAACGGATTAATTCAAATACCTTTATTTCTTATGGGAAAAATCGTTTCGACTTAGGATCTGTCTCTGGGAACGGATTAGCATCGTAAGTCGAGGCCCCATTGTACTGTATTTGATAATAAAAGAAAAGCCGTAGGAGTTTGGTACCCCCTTTCCTTCCCGCTACCAAGTAAGCAACAACCGCACCCAACAGAAAACAACCATTAATACTGAACCAGAAAAACATCGATTAATAGATATGCTTTTATCGTGCCTTGTGTTTACCATCGCTAACAAGTGGCAACTCCTCCATAACACATTTTATAAAAGTGAATTAATTATACAGCCTATCATCTTAACACTTTCGCGCTTTAGATTAGAGATAACTCGTCGCCGTTTTTTCTTACGATTCCGCCTAACAGCCTACTTTTCTCGTCCATCGAAAAAATATTTCTATAAATTCCATTTTTTAACCGAAATGGATGGGGATACTTTTGTTTTGTAGAGAATTTATTTACAAATTTTTTGGTACCAGAATGAATATTATATCACATAAACTTCTATGAGTAAAAAAAAAAATACACAAAGTATGTTTGGGGGTGTGGCGAGCGTGTGGCAGTGGGTTCCCTTTAGCCGTTGATATATCCAACGCGTGGGAAATATTTGTATGTGTTATGTATATGTCTGTGTAGGGAATTTTACTGCGATCACTGTCATACAAATTATAAAATGTTTCAAAAAGTATAAACATGACAAACATCAAACAAACGAAAACAATGCGTTCGTTTCTGCCGCGAACGCATACTGAGCGACGTGGTTCTATATTTGGCGCTTCTCTTACACATGCTTTGTACAAATGTTATACAGTTCATCTTATAGAAAATTTTATTGCGAACACATTGGTATAAAAAAGAAATACGCACATAGAAAAGTAGGGTCAGGAAACGTATAAACTTTCCAAGCATGATTTCCCCCCTGTGTTTTCGCCAGTGCGCTCGCGGCTAACTACAATCCACTTCACACACTCTTGCAGGTGGGCAATTACCTATATTAAACATTCATATGCATATGTCCGTGTAGAGGATTTTATTGCGATTCCAATGATACCAAAATTAGCGATGTAGGACAACTGTAGGCTTCGCAACCATTAAGAGAGTGGAAACATTTTGTTGCTGTTTGGCGCTCTCGGCGAGTGATCTGCATAGTTTTTTATTTGGTGTTGATACTCCTTATGCTTGGGTGGCATTTTATAGGTATGCTCTTATAGACAATTTCATTGCGAACACAGTGATACCAAATTTAAATACTTGCACCTTCAATTATTGTCAGGACAGTCAAAAGAGTGTACACTTTTTCGGTCTTACCTCGTAGGCGCGCGAAGTGCCGAAAGCATCTGGGGTATTGTTTTTTTTTTGAGCGCCGAGAGCGCGAAAGTGTTAACACTTTCCCTGCCTGATGACGTTGTTGACGTCATAAAACCAAATTACGGAGTATGCCCAATGATGCAAACAGTGTCAATAATTTTAAATTTTTTTAATAAATTCCATTTATTGTCTGGATATTATGGAACGTGTTTAAAATGTCCACCAAATTCTGCACATTCTCTGCGTACCCCACATGGCATCCTGGCCCCCGCAGTGTGGGTGCCCACCCATGCTGGAGGCTCTCTGTTTTCGTGACCTCACTCGTGACAGCCGCTGCCTCCCCTTGAGTCGATAAGTTTCTGCATTCTGGTTATTTTATCTCGGGTATTTGTTCTTACCAGCTTTATAAACACTGCAAATTGACTTCCAGATGCATACTAAACAAGAACTGATCAAGAACAGAGCCAATCCACGATAAAAGCTTTGAAAAAAACACGTATGGGGGAAAAGTTATTGGGTTTTTGTTGAAAGTATAGAAAAGTGAGAAGTTCTTATATGCAAATATCCCTTTACAGCAGTCTACTGCAAACAATTTGATTCTAAATTGAACAACGTTCCACAAAAATTGAGGTCAGAAAACTGAAAAAGAGTACAATCAATTTTGTGGTGGTGAGCTATCGGGTTACCTTGCAGTGCACTGCGAGTCTAAAGAATAAGAAAGACTATGTTCTTATATGCACATGTTTCTTTAGAGCAGTCTATTATGAGTAATTTGATACCAAATTGAACAACGTATCTCAAAAATTGAGGTCAGAAAGCTAAAACGAGTATAAACATTTGTGGGTGGTGACGAGTTAGTGCGCACTGCTCGGCCTACCTTGAGGTGCACAACAGGTCGCCCGCCGGGGCATCAAAAGTGTTAAAAATTGCTTTCCGATTGTTTTAATACTGAAATGTGTTTATGTTCTAGTATTCTATATTACGGATTGTGAGAGCAATACAGTAAAGTTTAAGGAAGAATGAATCATACATTACTTGTATTTATAAAGTTAACACACCAACCTGAAGACGGTCACCAAACAATGTTAGGAACATTGTAAAGTTGATGGGTCCAGGAGCCTCATTCATCATGGAATCCAGATATTCATCAGTAGGATTCTTTCCTGAAGAGCATCACAATGACAAGTAATGAAACAATAAGGAAAGAATAACAAGACATTTAAATATAAATAAATGAATGCAATCAATATTTTTGTTCTACTTTGCAAGCCAATCCCTGGCTCTTGCTTCACCCATCACTGAAGCTAAAATTACAAACTTCCAGAGTCAATTTTATAACTACAGTCTACAGCAGGCATCTGCCACAACAATTATACTTATATTAGTTACACCTACCTAAGGACGCTAACATGTCATGCAGATCATCTTTGTCAATAAATCCATCACGGTTCTGGTCAATCATATTGAACGCTTCTTTAAACTCTTGAATCTGAGCTTGGTCAAACATTGCAAAAACATTACTAGTAGCACGCTGGGCACGCTTCTTGGTAATCTTCTTTCCAGCCTTGCGAGACGACATTGTCTGAAAACAATTAAATACACTATAATAACTGCTGAGCACTTACAGATTTACTACACACAGTATACACAACAAGTACAGATGTTCTATTACCTTGTTCGAATTTCATTTCATCTTAATACATCACATAACCAGTACCAGTAACTACTATTAACCAGTAAGAATTAATTATTACAGTACTTCATTATATAAATATTGCCTAGGATATAAAGACAACCCATTTACAGATTTTGCTTAACTAGCTATATAATGTAGAATACTATACTAGATGAACAAATTTAACTTGATCCTCAAGTTAAGCACTGGAATTATGATATTCATCAGTCATCACTTATAAACTGTACCGCATAAACGAAATTGCAAACAATAGCTGAAAACATATGCTATAACATATACTATACCATGCTATAGTAATTACCTAAGTGTAAATTGTGGTTACAGGATGAGAGTTATGCTTGTTGTGTCCCATTTTCCCAACACTATCATATAATGCTTTGAAGCTGCAGTACTGACGGTTTTGGCCTCCACCACCACCTCACTTAACTTGTTCCATCAGTCTACCAATCTGCTTACTAAAGTTAATTTTCTTTTATTTCTTTAGCAGCTTTATTTAGTTAGCTTAAACCTATGACCTCTTGTTCTTGAAGTTCCAGGTCTCGGGAATTCTTCCCTATCAATTTTGTCGATTCTTGTTGCTATTTTGTACATGGTGATCATATCCTGGATTGTACCTGGATGGGGTTCTGGGAGTTCTACAACTTTCCAAGCCTGACCCTGACTTGATCCAAAAAGCTGTTTCTTGGAGCAGATCACATACCCACCACTGCCCAGTTGGTCTGGCCCTTCTTAACGAAAACTATCCTCGCCTTGAAGATATCGCCTCTTTTTCTTCTAGTATCTTCTAGTTTTGGCATATTTAATGCTTCTAACCTGGTCAGAGACTGGGCTGTGGGGACCTTAACCCCTGGAACCACCACAAGGTAAACACAAGTAACATCATCTCATAGCTCATGTCTTTCAGTTCCAGAAGCCATTTAGTTGTACGGCTTTGCACCTTTTCCAGTTTGTTGATGTGCTTTTTAAGGTATGGGCACCATACAACCACTGCATATTCCAGCTTTGGTCTCACATAGGTCATTAACAATTTCTTTAATAATCTTATCTTGAGATGATTTCGGGGCTTAGTGTCCCCGCGGCCCAGTCCTCGACCAGGCCTCCACCCCCAGGAAGCAGCTCGTAGCAGCTGTCCAACTCCCAGGTATCTATTTACTGCCAGGTAACAGGGGCATCAGGGTGAAAAACATTTTGCCCATTTGTCTCCGCCTCCACCAGGGATTGAATCCGGAACCTTAGGACTACGAATCCGAAGCGGTCCACCCAGGTGTCTGGCGCCCATATTTTCATTAATTCTCAATCCATCTTTTTAAAAGCAATTCTGAAATTGGAACCCATAGCATAGGCTCCTTGCACAATGTTCTTTATGTGGTCCTCAGGTGATAGAATACTATCTAAAACCACCCCTAGATCTCTCATCAGAATTTTTCAAATCTTTTTCACATAATTTGTAGGTTGTGTATGGTTTATTTTCTCCTTTTCCACATTCCTTAACAAGGCATTTATTCACGTTAAATTCCATTTGTCAAGTGGTACTCCATACACTTATTTTGTCCAAGTCTTAAGTTTCTTATCCCTAGTATCTTAGCATCATCAGCAAATATGTTCATATTATTCTGTATTCCTTCTGGTAGATCATTTATGTAGACATTGAACATTACTGGTTCAAGAACTGAACTTTGTAATCCACTCGTGACATTTCTCCAGTCCGATACATTGCCTCTGATTACTGACCTAATTTTTCTGTTAGAATTTTTTTTATCCATGTTAGAAGCTTCCCTGTCATTTCTCAAGTATGTTCCAGAACAACCTCTTATGTGGAAATCTTGAAAAACTTTTTTAGGTCCAGATAAGTGCAGTCAAACGAACCATCTCTTTCCTGTAAGATTTCTGTGGCTCTATTGTAAAAACTAAATAAATTTGTTACACAGGATAGTCCAGATTGAAAACCATACTGTATTATATAATTTTTCTCCAGGTGTTCTACCATTTGATTTTAATTATGTTTTCAGATATTTTGACTACAACACTTGTCAATGATACAAGTCTATAATTGCAACAGGGTTCATCCCTGTTGCCAGTTTTGTAGATTGGAACTATGTTAGACTTTTTACATATATTTGCCAGGACTCCTGTATACAGATATGCATCAAAAATCAATTAAGTGGAATGCTGAGCTTAGGTGCACATTCTCTCAAAACCCAAGAAGAAATTCCATGTGCAGCCCATCCTCCTGTTTTGGTAGTAGAGTACTTTAGTAATGATGAGAACAATAGTACTGTATATATACCGACGTACAACAAAATTAGAAAAGTAGAAATCGGCACTATTGAATTATCCATCCACTCTTACTATCTGGTAGTCTCGCTTCATGCAGGTTGGCGTTCAATCCCTGACTGTGCTAGTGGTTCATCACCTTTCCTTCCCCCTGTCCCACCCCAAATCCTTATCCTAATACCTTTCAAGTGCTATACTGTATAGTCATATTGACTTAGCCCTTTCTCCTGATAGTTCCCTATCCCTTTCTCCAAATCTCTTTCTGCTTCTTCTCACTGCAGTGTACTGTAGTTGTTTCTTGCTTCTTTGTGTTGCTGGTATATTTGAGGGTTTGGTCTCTTCCTGTACCGATTCCTTTTTTGTGTATTTTGGTCTCTGGCCCTCTCGCAATTCCTGTTGAATCAATCCCGTTCCCTAGTTCTGCATCTCTTGTTTGATATACTGTACTGTTCTGTAAAGTCTTTTGTACCTTTATCATACATTTCACAAAATTTGATGTATCTCATTTTCATCTTCCCCTAACAGCAAGTCTTTCCAATCAAATTCATTAAAGATCTTTCTAAGTTCCATAATGTCCTTTACTGAAATCAGTTTTTTCAATTGCTACAGTTTCCTGAGTCTCTTCCAAATTATTACATATTGCATACTTTACTTTCAAAAGGCCATGGTCAGTTTTGCCCAAGGTGGGAAGGTACTGAATGTCAAATATATCTTCTTTTTTCCTGATTAATATTAAATCCAGCATGGAAGGAACATCCCTTTCCCTCATAGCTTGTTTAAGATGTTGATACACAAATTTCTGTAGAATTAGGTTTACGAATCTACTGGTCCAAAAGTCGTCGTTTCTTGCTTAGTAGGTCTCCAAGTCGAAGTCACCAAGTACAGTACCAGCAATCGTGATCTCTCTATCCACTCTTATACTCTCCCTCCACGAGGGCCTCATTTGAGGCCCTCTCATTTATTGTTCAACTCTTCCTGTGTCCATGTGTTGCAAGCTGGTAGACTGTAGGCATTTATGATTACCAGTTTATCATCCTGATTACAAATCTTTAGTGCTATTACGTTAACTTCCTGGATTGGTAATCATTATTTTGTTTACCATTACGTGTCCTTTCACCAGCATGGCAACACCATCTTTGAGTTCCATAACCCTTAGTGCAACAATGCACCTCTTCTATTTCTTATATATATAAACGATCTGCCTAATGTCTCTAATATTCACAAACCTACATTGTTTGCTGACGATACTACCCTTATCTATTCAGACCTCAATCCACATACACTAAATAATGTTGTGAATAATGAATTAAAAAAAGTCCACTTATGGATGTCAATGAACAAAGTAACATTAAACATAGAAAAGACTTACTACATCTTATTTGGAAGCAAATCATCAAATGCAATTCAGCTACAGATAGACAACATTAACATAAGTAATAAAAATGATGGCAAGTTTCTTGGCCTATTCCTAGACAAGAGACTCAACTTCAGCACCCACATTCAACACATAACTAAGAAAGTCTCTAAGACAGTTGGTATACTCTCCAAAATCAGATATTATGTTCCTAACTCTGCTCTCCTCTCACTATATTATGCACTAATCTACCCCTATCTTAATTATGGTATCTGTGCATGGGGGTCTACCACTGCAAACCACCTTAAGCCCATCATCACACAGCAAAAATCTGCTATCAGAATAATGACTAACTCTGCTTTCAGACAACACTCGGCTCCCTTGTTTAAATCCCTAAACTTGCTAAGTATTAACTCCCTCCACACATTCTCTTGTGTCAACTACATTTACAGAACCCTGTTCTTAAATGCAAACCATGCTCTGAAACTCTTCCTGGACAGATGTAATAGGACCCATTATCACCACACCAGAAATAAATATCTCTTTGATATCCCCAGGGTCAAACTTAATCTGTGTAAACACTCTATGCAAATTAAGGGACCTAGTCTATGGAACTCACTCCCTAGTGAATTGAAAAACTGTAAAACTTTTGCCTTATTTAAAAGCAAAACCAAAAAGTACCTAATTTCATCATCTTAGTTTCCTACACTGAGCTTTAAATTTGCTCTGTACCTAGTGTTACCCAATCTCCTAATTTTTATGTAGTATCAAACAACCTTATCATTGTGTTCATTGCTGTCTTCTTTTATGTGCTAGCCATATGCTGTATTGTGACTACCAATTTTTGTCAACCACCATTCAAGCTGTCATTGCAATCAATCTTATCTACCTATGTGCTTTAATATACTCTACCTACAATTTTCTCTCATCTTTTTTTTATTCCATGTAACTGTTATCATTTTTTTTGTCTATAAATTTTGCAAGTATTTACTTACTTAAAATTTTCTTAGATTAAGGACCTGCCCGAAACGCTGCGCGTACTAGTGGCTTTACAAGACTGTAATTACCATATTATGTATCCTCACATTCCCAATGTACATTCTTGTATATGCATAAATAAATAAATAAATAAATAAATAAATGTGTACACAGGCACTGCCTCGCATACTCCCAGCTTCCTCTGCTCTTACCTACGGATGTACTGTACACTAATCGTTTTGAAGGTATTTTATAATTTAGGACAAAATTAATATACCAACACTATTCATCTGCCAGAAACAATATGCGTGTTAATTAGTAAGCTTTGCAAGAATGTAAAAATACCAGTATTATCTAATCTCACAAACCCATTGTACTTAATCGTAAATAATTTAAATAAATATATACAGGTAGACAGTCTTAGGTCATGTTGGATTTAGTTTTGAAAGCAATGTGTAGCTGACGTAGACTATATCCCTAAACTGTCAACCCTGACCTTCCAGCCTCTGGCCAGGATTGATTAAACTAAATGTAAGGTTGATGGGCGTCTTTATAGTGTTATTGTGTAGTCTGAGAGAGATTGAGAGAGAGGAGTGGTAGAGAAAGCTGGAGGGTGTGGCAGAGAGGCACTCAGCGCCACCCTTATACAGGCACCATGACACATCTTCCTCTACCGTCTCTCACACTAACTTAATGCTTGCATATTTACTGTTGTACGAAGCCAAGGCTGCTACATAAACCATTGTAGAGCATCTCACCAGTGTGGGTTATGAGGGCGTGGTGAAGGAAGAGAGGAGAGCAGCGACGGTGTTAAGGAGACTGGTGTCAGGGCAGGACTGGTGGCGGCCGGTGCTGCCCCCTGGCGCCCGGCCCCTCACCACTCCTGCGCCTCAACCTTCACTCACCTCTCACCTCATTACCTCACAACCTGCTAATATCTTACCATTTACACCACTCATCACTACGCCTGCACTCATCATCTTCAATTTTTACAACACTCTGCAGATTAAACTTGCAGTGAGTAGCTATAAAATGTACTAGAATGGCCATATATATTTTGATACTATACAATTGGAAATAAAGTAGACGCCAGTGATATTTTTAGGTCAACAGATTACGCTTGAGTCTACCATTGCAGCTATCAGCATTTTGCAATTATACACCTGAATGCCAAAAATAGAAGTTTATGCCATCACAGCTAATTAGTCAGCAATGATGAACATGTCTCGATATATGATCTACATTACACACAGGTCCAGCCAAGAATATGTTTATGGAACATAAGGTGCAATATAACTTTCACGAAGGCTGTGTCAGCGGGGTTACCACCACCATGACCCCAAGATGTGTAGTTTGACCTAAACCAAATTATATGTGGTGACCCCCCCCCCCTCGTGTCTAGCTACGGAAGATGAATTTATATCAAGAGGAAAGTGCGAGTTACAGGCAGGGACACACACATATACAGCCTCCACTGTACTCCAGACTACGTTACCTCACTCTCACGGATGTTAAGATGATAAATCTCCCGCACTCTGGCGTCCTGGCCCGCGCTGACTCACACATCCTCATCTTTAGTCATACAAACATAACATTGAACTGGACGGTAACCATATATAGGCCTACATATGTGCATCCTGTGACGATAAGTGTTATGGAATGTTACCATATATGTGTGTAACACCTGGAGGTATATACAGTAGGTCTAACAAATGGATGTATATACAGAGGGAGGGTGGGGGGATAGTGGCTGAGTGGACAGCATACTGGTACGTAGTCCTGTGGTCCGGGGTTCGATTCCCGGCGCCGGCCGAAACAGATGGGCAGGGTTTCTTTCACTCTGATGTCCCTGTTATCTAGCAGTAAATAGGTACCTGGGAGTTAGACAGCTGTTACGGGCCGCTTCCTGGTGTGTGTGTATTCACCTAGTTGTGCTTGCGGGGGGGGGGGGGGGGTGAGCTCTACTCTTTGGGCCCGCCTCTCAACTGTCAATAAACTGTTACTAACTACTATTTTTTCCACACCACAAACAAACACACACAAGGAAGCAGCCCATGACAGCTGACTAACTCCCAGGTACCTATTTACTGCTAGGTAACAGGGACATCAGGGTGAAAGAAACTCTGCCCATTGTTTCTCGCCGGCGCCGGGAATCGAACCCGGGACCATAGGATCACACGTCCAGCGTGCTGTTCAACCAGCTACCGGCCCCCTTAATTAATAAGTATTCACCTAGTTGTTCTTGCAGGGGTTGAGCTTTGCTCTTTCGGCCCACCTCTCAACTGTCAATCAATGAACTGTAACTAACTACTAACTAATTTTTTTCCACACACACACCCAGAAAGCAGCTCCGTAACAGCTGTCTAACTCCCAGGTACCTATTTACTGCTAGGTAACAGGGGCATCAGGGAGAAAGAAACTTTGCCCATTTGTTTCTGCCTCCACGAGGAATCGAACCCGGGCCACAGAATTACGAGTCCTGCACGCTGTCCGCTCAGCTACCAGACCCCTTTGTGTGTGTGTGTGTGTGTGTGTGTGTGTGTGTGTGTGTGTGTGTGTGTGTGTGTGTGTGTGTGTGTGTGTGTGTGTGTGTGTGTGTGAAAAAATAATTCGTTAGTTAGTAGTTAGTAGCAGTTGAGAGGCGGGCCGAAAGAGGAGAGCTCAACCCCCGCAAGCACAACTGGGTGAATACATGGAGGTATATACAGTAGGTCTAACACATGGAGGTATATACAGTAGGTCTGACACATGGAGGTATATACAGTAGGTCTAACACATGGAGGTATATACAGTAGGTCTGACACATGGAGGTATATACACTAGGTCTAACACATGGAGGTATATACAGTAGGTCTAACACATGGAGGTATATACAGTAGGTCTGACACATGGAGGTATATACAGTAGGTCTAACACATGGAGGTATATACAGTAGGTCTAACACATGGAGGTATATACTGTAGGTCTAACACATGGAGGTATATACAGTAGGTATAACACATGGAGGTATATACAGTAGGTCTAACACATGGAGGTATATACTGTAGGTCTAACACATGGAGGTATATACTGTAGGTCTAACACATGGAGGTATATACTGTAGGTATATACTGTAGGTCTAACACATGGAGGTATATACAGTAGGTCTAACACATGGAGGTATATAGTAGTCTAACACATGGAGTAGGTCTGTGGAGGTATATACTGTAGGTCTAACACATGGAGGTATATACAGTAGGTCTAACACATGGAGGTATATACAGTAGGTCTGAAACAAGGAGGTATATACAGTAGGTCTGACACATGGAGGTATATACAGTAGGTCTGACATATGGAGGTATATACTGTAGGTCTAACACATGGAGGTATATACTGTAGGTCTAACACATGGAGGTATATACTGTAGGTCTAACATATGGAGGTATATACAGGTCATGGAGGTATATACTGTAGGTCTGACATATGGAGGTATATACATATGGAGGTATATACTGTAGGTCTAACACATGGAGGTATATACAGTAGGTCTGACACATGTAGGTATATACAGTAGGTCTGACATATGGAGGTATATTTACCCAATTACCTGAGAGCCATTAGCACTAGTGGCCTCGACGAGGACAGGAAGCCGGCGGCTTGTCGAAGGTCCCCCCTATTTGCCTTGATCTTCTCCAGTTGAACTTTAATAGCCAACAGTTTTTTGTCATTAACGAGTTAGGCGGGTAGGCGGTTCCATGGGTTAATAAACCTATGGGTGAAAAAGTATCTCCTGTTCTCAGTCCTACATTGTTGCTTGTTGAGCTTGAAGCAGTTGCCTCTTATTTGTTACATCTGACCTGTTGAAGAAATTTTCCGGATCAACATCCTCCAATTTGTTGAGTATTTTAAACGTTTCAGTAAGATCCGCCCTGTCATGCCTGGTTTGTAGTGTTGTTAGCCCTGTGGCCCTCAACCGTTCCTGATACGAGAGTTGACTTTTGGCATGGAATGACTTTTGTTGCCCGGAGTTGCACTTTCTCCAGAGAAGCTATGGAGACAGCTCCAACTTTCTGAAGATGAGGTCTCCATGCTTGGATTCAGTAATCCAAATTGGAGCGCACCAGATAGTTATACAATTGAATCACTACCTTCTTTTCCTTGAAGTCGAAGGTACGCTTGAGTATTCCAAAAGTTTGGTTAGCATTTTTAACTACTGTTTCTACCGGGTTGTGACTCATACGTCAGGCTGCGAGCAGCCGCGTCCAACAGCCTGGTTGATCAGTCCAGCAACCAGGAGGCCTGGTCGACGACCGGGCCGCGGGGACGCTGAGCCCCGGAAGCACCTGAAGGTAACCTGCTGTGCAACTTTCATTGAGTGGTTGATTTTGACTCCCAGGTCCCTTTCTGCATCAATCTGGTGTAATGTGATGTTATTAATTTGGTAGTTGTGGCGTGGGTTGTTGTACCCCAGTTTAGATTAGTTTAGTTCATTTATTATGCACCCCATACCCATCTTGTGGGCGGTAGTGGAAAGGGTTACAGAGGCACATAATGGGCTCAGGGACTGAACCCCACAATTCATTTAGCTAAGCAAGTTACAATCTTGATGAGCTAGTTACAAAATTCAATATAAGTCGTCACATCAACAATGGGTTCGAGATCGACCACAAGTACAGTTTCTAAATTAAGCAACTGACATATGTGGAGAGCTAGTGTCACAATTGATATGTTTGTCCTGCACACCGCCCCCCATCCAGTGGGTCATTTAGCTAAGCAAGTTACAATCTTGATGAATTAGTTACAAAATTCAGTATAAGTCGTCACATAATAAATGGGTTCGAGATCGACCACAACTTGTGCCCCGCATGCAAGGTCTTGCATTTGTCAATATAAAAAAGCATTTGCCAGTCTTCTGACCATTTGTGGAGTTCCTGTAGATCTTTTTGTAAGGCTTAAACATTATTATCCTTAGCAGGCGATGAGTCACAATAACGTGGCTAAAGTATGTTGACCAGACCACACACTAGAAGGTGAAGGGACGACGACATTTCGGTCCGTCCTGGACCATTCTCAAGTCGACTTGTTGCGTGGGTTGTTGAATGGCCCAGACTTGAGAATGGTTTGCCTTGAGAATGGTCCAGGACGGACCGAAACGTCGTCGTCCCTTCACCTTCTAGTGTGTGGTCTGGTCAACATAATTATCCTTTCCTACTTTGCCATAAATCTTTGTGTCTTCTGCAAATTTTATGATGTGATTTGTAATATTGTCATCTATGTGATTGAGGTATATGACGAAAAGGGTTGGCCCCAAAATGGACCCCTGTGGCACCCCACTTACCACATTTCTCCAGTCACATTCATTCCAATTTAGCACGACTCTTTGTTTTAACCATTGTTTTATACACTGTAGTATTCTTCCATTTATTCCATGCGCCTGTAATGTCCTTGCCAGTCTTTCATGTGGTGCCTTATCAAAGGCTTCAGCAAATTCCATGAATACTACTACATCAACCGGAAGGCCTTTGTCTGAGTCGCTGGTTACCCTAAATGATTCCCCTAAATGTTGCTGAATGATTCCTTACACAAGTTTCTGAAGGCAGTGCTTATGTTCGCCAGCCTTCCACACAGGTGTGATATCAACTTACAAATCTTTCTTCCTGACTGCAGAAGGATTTATTCTCCCAGTTGGCACCTTGTATTTAGCCTCCGGCTCCCTACGTCTATCTTCATCACATTGCACTTGCTCGAGTTAAATTCTTGTAGCCATTTGTTGGACCATTCCTCCAGTCTGTCTTGGTCATCCTATAGCCTCTTGCTGTCTTCCTCTGTCTTAATCTTTTTTATAATTTTAGCATCATCAGCAAATATTGAGAGGAATGAGTCTATACCTTCTGGAAGATCATTTACGTATATCAGAAACAGGATAGGTCCTAGT